ATAAGAGTCTTACAGGAAGTGGCACTGTGGCTCAAGTGGTAGAGCACTAGCCTTGAGCTGAAGAACTGAGGGACAGCGCCCGGGCCCAGAGATCAGGCCCCACGACCGACAGAGAGAGAGAGAGAGACAGAGACAGAGAGAGACAGAGAGAGACAGACAGACAGACAAACAGACACAGATACACACACACACACACACACACACACACACACACACACTACAAAAACAAACAGGGGAGGGTGGGGGAGAGATGGGAAGGAGAAACAGGGGAGGAGGCAACAATGCTTGATAGGAATGTACTATCTTGCCCATGTAATTGTAACCTCTCTGTACAGTGCTGGGGCTGGTTTTCAACCGAAATCCTAGCCTCCTGAAGACTAGGATGGATTACAGACTAACAAACTAATAAATAAAACAAGTGTTAACCACTGATTCATTCAACACACCCTTCATACTTATAGGAGGAATGTGTGCCCAGTGATCCAAACAACAAATGAACATTATTTAAAAAACACAAAGACAGCTTGGGAGTCGGTGGCTCATGCCTATAATCCTAGCTACTCAAGAGGCTGAGATCAATAACCATGGTTCAAAGGCAGCCTAGGCAGGAAAAGTCCAAGAGACTTTTTTTTGTCAGTCATGGGGAATGAACTCAGGAACTGGATGCTGTTCCTGAGCTGTTTGGCTCCAGGCTAGAGCTCTGTCACTTTGAGCCACAGCTACATTTCTGGCTTTTTGGTGGTTAATTGGAGAGTTTCCTCCTCTGGTGCCTCTGCTGGTACTGAACTAGATCCTTAGCCTTCTTGGGTAGCTATGATTATAGGTGTGAGCCACCAGCACTTGGCTCCAAGAGATTCTTATCACTGATTAATCCCCCAAAGCAGCCAAAAAATGGAACTGTGGCTCAAACCCTAGTGTGCTAGCCTTAAGCAAAAGAGCTCAGGAGCAGCAGCCAGGCCTAGAATTCAGGTGCCAGTACTGGCACCAAAAACACCCTGGGTCCAGTCACCAATGCCATCAAAAAGCAACCAAAAGCCAGGCATTAGTAGCTTATGCCTGTAATCCTAGCTGCTCAGATGCTGAGATCTGAGGATTTGTGGGTCAAAGCCAGCCCAGGCAAGTTAAGTCTATGAGATATTTATTTCCAATAAACTACAAACAAACAAACAAAAAAAAAAACAAAAGCTACAAGTGGAGCTATGGTTCAAGTGGCAGAGCGCCACCCTTGAGCAAAACAGGTCAGGGACAGTGCCAGGCCTGGAGTTCAAGCCCCTAGGAGCAATGTGTGCACATGCACGTACGTGTGTGTGCGCACGCGCGTGTGCACACACACACAAAGACACAGCAACTAACCAGAAACCTGGAAGCCACTAGTGTCTGTCCATGCAACAGCTGTTCTCCCTCAAATAAAGAAGCTTTTGCTTTTCTTTTGTAGATGGCTGGCTTTGAACCACATTCTCCAGAGCTCAGCTTCCTGAGTAGCTAGAATTACAGGCAGGAGCTAACATACCCAGCTCTGAAATAAGTGAAACTATACAAGGAAACAAAGTAAACTAGTAACTGCCAGGATTCATGGGAGAAATACTGGAAGTCCTTGTTTCCTGGGTACAGAGTTCTAATTTTACCTAATGGAGTTAGGAAGGAGGGCATGTAGTATACATTAGCATATTCAGCTGCATGTCTGACATGGTTGAAATGGTAACTCAGATGTGTTTCAGTCTAACAAATTCATTTAGGTTAGAAAATAAGCTTCCTCCCTCACTGGAACCTGACACAGAATTCTGTTTTGTCTGTGAAATGGCCTCACCACGTGGCCCAGGCTGGTCTGCAACTCACTCTCCTCCTGCCTCAGCTTCCCAGTGCCCGCCAGATTTCAGGTGTGCACCATCAGCCCTGTCTGCATAGCTTTGTTGGCCAGGCTGGTCTCCGCAGACATCCAGTAGCTGGGACTGTAGGTATGTGCCACCACATCAGGCTTGGAGGACACGTCCATCTACTGTAGCTCCAGCACTACTAACACAGGGCTGAGGGTTCTCAGGCATGTGCTCAGTGGGTCTGACCAATTATCATCCAGAACCTTCTCACCAAGGAAAAAGGGAAACCTCAGAAAGACAATCTAGCGAGGCACAAAGCCATCCATGCGATCAACTTCTGACGATCTGGAATTGTTCTTGGTGTGCTTGTTCAACAATGCAGCTGTTGCTGGTGGTGGAAAGAACAGGATGCGCTATCCGGGAGCACCTTCAACATCCTGAGGGCGAAGCGCAGCTGCTTGCAGGACAGTAAGTCTGCTGATTGACTGATCATTCCAACTCTGAAGCAAAAGGTCTAGTTTTAGGAAGGTTGTATCCATCTACAAAAGCTAACGGCCCTGCACTATGGCAAACCTGTGACATGGAGGTGGATGGTGAGACTGATGCCTGAGTTCTGTTGCTATCTGCTAGAGCAGATTTAGGCTGTGACTGTGACCAGGGTCCTAGGCGTGCTTTAGACCAGGGGAAGAAATGGCACCTGGCACCCAAGTGCAGCGCAGGGCTAGCTTCCTCACAGCTCCCATCATGCCAAGGCCACATGTGCATGCACAGTCACATCTAAGGCTGTGAACACAGCTCAGCTCACTGCCACCATTGGAAGATTGCTGTTCTCTAAGTTTCAGGGATGCCAAAGACTCCTCACTTGGCTCCAGGCAAAGCCCCCCATGTACAAATAAGCACACAGACCCACCAAAACTTAACAGGAAATGAAGACACACTGTCCAAGGATATAGAGCCACTGGAAAATTTCAAGGTCAGATGCTGGAGATGCTATGCAGCAAATGACTCACCAGGTAGTCTGAGAGATGATCTGATGTAGCCCAAGTTGGCCTCCCAAGTGCTGGAATTACAGGCATGCACCATAAACCATTGCTAATGATAGCACTTTAAAATAAAGACACCAGCTGTACACTGGTGGCTTAACACCTAGAATCCTAGCTTCTCAGGAGGCTGAGATCTGAGTACAAAGGCTCAAAGCCAGCCTGGGCAGGAAAGTCCATGAATCTCCAATTAACTAGCAAAAAGTCAGAAGTAGACGTGTGGCTCAAGTAGTAGAGCAAAAAAGGCTGAGAGCCCAAAGCCCTGAATTCAAGCCCAGTATTATCATGCATGCATGTACAAACACACACACACAAATAGCCCCAGACTCAGAAGTCCCAAGGTGAATAAACTATCAGACTGAATTGGTCTATTTAGGAAGGCTATTCCCAGGGAACTTGTAAACGTTAAAAAAAAAAAAAAAAGCCGGGCACTGGAGGCTCACGCCTATAATTCTAGCTACTCAGGAGGCTGAGATCTGAGAATCGTGGTTCAAAGCCAGTCTGGGCAAGAAAGTGCGTAAACTCTTATCTCCAATAAACCACCAGAAAACAGGAAGTGGCGCTATAGCTCAAGTGGTAGAGTGCTAGCCTTGAGCTGAAGAGCTGAAGGACAGCGTTCAGGCCCAGAGTTCAAGCCCCACGACGGACAAAACAAAAACATTGATTAAAAAAAAAGCCCCTATTGATTCAATTTCAAGAAGACTAGAGTGCTGGGAACCAGTGGCTCACACCTGCAGTCTTAGCTACTCAGAAGGCTGAGATCTGAGGATCACTGTTTGAAGACAGCTGGGGCAGGAAAGTCCATGGGGCTCTTATCACTAATGAGATACCAAAAATGCCAAAAGTGGAGCTGTGGCTCAAAGCTAGAGTGCTATGCTAGCCTTGAGCACAAAAGCTCAGGGACAGCACCCAGCCCCTGAGCTCAAGATCCAGGACTGACACCCAATAATAAATAAATAAAAACACTGGAGTTCAACAGAGGCCTAGAAACCTACCCCGAAGGCTCTACTTTTAAATGTCACCTAACATCTATTTCCTTTTTATTAGCAAATAAAATATTCTTTGAAATCTAGGTGGCTCCACCTACCCCAAGCTCCTACTAGTGTTTCTCACCACCCTGGGTACACTCCGGCACCAAGCAAGCCTTTGTTCCAACCTTCCCATACCAAGATAGGAAAAAAGTCATCATTCTCAACCAAACAAAGGTACTTTTTTGGACCGCGGGGTCGGAGACGGTACACCTCGGAAGGTGAGCCCAACTGTGGTGTTATCCCCACAGAGGAAATCTTGTTACAGCCACACAAAGGCCAAATGTGTCCTTGACAAACAGCAAGACGTTCACGGCCCAAACCTCTCTGGGAGAGGCAGCATCCAGGCATAACAAAACAAAACAAATCCGGTGCAGGTTTCTGGAATTCAACATCAGAAACCGCCTATGCAGCCACTAACATTTTCAAAGCAGACTCGGCCGCTTTGACTTCTTCTGGGCATCCGACCACGGTCATCACACGGGATTCCTCCCCGGGGTCCGGGGAAGCGAGGAGGAAGGCAGACTTCCACCCGCGGGCTCCGAGCACTTGCCCCCAACAGACCGACGCGCCCAGAGCAGCCGCGACGTGTCAGCAGCGTGCGAGAACCGGAGGCTCCGTCTCCCCACCGCCGGCCCCAAACCCGCCCTTTCCCGGGTTCGAGCTGGGAGGGGAAAGCAGCCAGCAGTAGCCCCTCTCGCGGCCTCCGACCGCGCCCGGAGCGACCTGCCTCCGACCAGGGGGCCTGGGGGGACCTGCGGTGCGGGGAGGCGGGCGGCGGCGGGCGGCACCCCCAACCTCGCCGGAGGGGGATGGGCCCCGGTTACCGCCGCGGCCCCGACCCGGCCCGGTGGCGAGGCAGGACCGGGGGCGCGCTGCAGCCCGCGGGACGCCGACCGGACGCCTGGCCCGGAGCCGCCCCGGTTAACCGCCGCCGCCCGCCCCGGAGCGCGCCATTTCCAGGCCTCGGCCCGCACGGCGCCTCGCAGGCCGCCGCGGGCCCCGCCAGGCCGCGGCTTCCCTCCCGCCGCCCCGGGCAAGCACGGCAGGGCCGCCGCCGCCTCGGGGCCCCCGAGACCCGGCCGAGCCGGGGCCCGCGCACCCACCGCCCGCCTCACCCTCTGCCGCCGCCGAAGCTGCTGTAGGCCCGATCGTCGTAGGTATCGAAGTCCGCCATTTGCCGTGTCCGCTCCGAGAGGAACCAGGGTGAGCGAGGAAGGACCCCGCAATATAACTCCCCCCCGCCCCACCGCTGGGGCTGTCCGCTGCGCTGCCTGATCGCAAATCGCACGCACGCACGCGCGTGCGCGCGCACGTACGCCCGCGCCGCGCCCGGCCCTGGGCCGACGGGGCCGCTGTTGGCCCGGCGCGCTCTGCGGCCCACGTGGTGCGGCGGCGGGGTCGCGCGCCCGGCCTGTGGTCGCAGCCCATTGTGTGCTGGCCGGGAAGGGGAGGGGAGGCGGCGGGAACGCGCGGCCCGGGGAGGCCCCGCCCCTCCCGTCCGCCCCGCCCAACCCCGCCCTGCTTCGCCTCGCTCCCGCAGCTTGGTCCCACCCGACCCAGGGATCCCCCCGGACGTGAGTGCTCTGGGCCCGGCGAGACGGAGACGGGGTGCGTGGCGGAGGAGCCTCCGGCCGGGCGACCCCGGGACCGGGCCGTGCGTGGCACCGCGCCCGCGAGCCGAGCTCGGATCCGCCTTCCACCCTCCGCAAGTGTGACAGACCCTAACGCAGAGTCCCCAAGAGCCTGGGCGCCGAGTGCGGCGGCCACGCCTGTAAACCCTTGAGGATCGCGGTTCAAAATCTTGTAGACTCTCTTTTTTTGGGGGTCCGGTCGTGGGGCCTGAACTCTGGGCCTGGGCGCTGTCCCTCAGCTCTTCAGCTCAAGGCTAGCGCTCTACCACTTGAGCCACAGCGCCACTTCCGGCTTTTTTCTTTTGCTTATGTGGTGCTGAGGAATCGAACCCAGGGCCTCATGCATGCAAGGCAAGCGCTCTACCACTGAGCTACCTTCCCAGCCCTCTTGCAGACTCTTATCTCCAATTCGCCATCCAAAAGCCAGAAGTGGAGCCGTGGCTCATGTGGTAGAGCGCCAGCCTTGAGCAAAATGAGCTCAGAGACAGCACCTAAGGCCTGAGTTCCACGCCCAGGACCAGCAAGAATAATTTAAAGGGGGAGGGGAGCGTGGAGTGTAGTTGTGGAGATGGGAGGGAAGGGATGGTAGGGGAAAAACAGGCGGCAACAATGCTTGATAAGAAATGTACTATTACCTTGCTCCTGTAACTGTAACCCCTCTGTACAGTAATTTGACAATAAAAAACTTATTTAAAAATAATTTTAAAAATAAAAAGGTAGAGCTGAAAAATTCATCTCACTTGCTGTGACTTTTGACTTTTGCAGTAAAACTCATCCCTCATGGATAGGGCCTGGGGCTGCTGGTGTAATGGAAGCTGAATTTTTTTTTTTTTGGTCAGTTTTGGGGCTTGAACTCTGGGCCTGGGCACTGTCCCTCAGCTCTTCAGCTCAAAGAGAGCGCTCTACCTCTTGAACCACAGCACCATTTCTGGTTTTCTGAGTGGTTTATTGGAGATAAGAGTCTCTCGGACTTTACTGCCTGGGCTGGCTTTAAACCGTGAACCTCAGATCTCAGCCTCCTGAATAGGATTACAGGCGTGAGCCATGGGTGCCTGGCAGGAAGATGATTTTTATACTAATGTTTTTATACTAACGGTTATAAAAATGCAGTGCACACAGTTATGTACACCACAAAATAACTTACAAGTGATAATAAACACCTGTTACTCATTTAGTTATTCCCATATACTTTTCCTCTTACAAAGTACTTCAGCTTATAAAATAAAAAAAAATGTTTTAAATCAGATGTGGTAGTACCAGTTTATAATCTGAGCTACCTGGGAGGCAGTAAGGAGCCAGGTTGTGAGTCCTGGAGCAAAATTATATAGATCGCCACTTAAAAACAAAAATCAAAGAAATGGAAAGAACTGGAAGCACTGCTAAAGAGATAATTGTGCTTCTTACTGATCTTGAGATCCTAGGTTCAATTTTCCAGTAGTTAAAAAAAAAAAAAAAGTTCCCTGTAAAACACACTACTTGGAACATCCTGTGTTTACCTGGTCCCTGGATGAAGGGACCAGGGTCAAATGTTGGCCTGCATCTGTCTGTTTAAATATGATGACAGTGTTAACTCGTGATGTGTTTCTGAGTGTATTATCATCACTTAGCAGCCAAACCTGTACTCCCTGGATGACCTAAAGCAGTTGCTCAATCCCTCAATTCTTTGTTAAACAGGAACAATAGTCTTTTTTCTTTTCTTTTTTATTCTTGCTGGTAGTGGGGCCTGAACTCTGGGCCTAGGCACTCTCCCTGAGCAGTTCAGCTCAAGGCTAGCTCTACCACTTGAGCCACAGCGCCACTTCTGTTTTTTTCTGCTTATGTGTGTAAGGTCTGAACAGGGACACCTCCCTCCCTCTTGGCTAAGTTTCTACCCAGTATCTGTTACCTAGGTAATTGGCAGACCTGGAAGCAGTCAACTTCCCCTCCTTCTAGGTCACATCCTTGGCCACCTCTGGTCACAAGCCTCCCATCTGACCTTAGGAAGGTCCCAGACCCTGAGGTCACATCCAGATCCAGTGTGGCCACACCTTTCCTCACCTGGCCACACCTCTTCCTTTCCCTGGCCTAGATAAGTCCTGGCCCAGGGGTGGCCCCCTTTCCCCTTTCCTTTTCAGCCATGCTTCTTTACTATGCATAGTGCAGGGGGCAGCAGTTCCGTTAATAAACTTTTTTTCCTGCCTGAATAGCGGGTGGTGTTCTCTTCATCAGCTACCTAATGAAACCTACCTAGTTAATATATCTAACAATGTGGTGCTGAGGAATCAAACCCAGGGCCTCATGCATGCAAGGCAAGCAAGCACTCTACCACTGAGCCACCTTCCCAGCCCCTTTTTCTTTGTAACAGAGCCTGGGCTTGAACTCAGATCATGGGCACTATCTATGAGCTGGTGCTCTACCACTTGAGCCACAGTTCCACTTCCGGCTTTTTTCTTTTTGCTTATGTGGTGCTGAGGAATCGAACCCAGGGCCTCATGCATGCAAGGCAAGCACTCTACCACTGAGCCAACTTCCCAGCCCTTGCTTTTTTTTTTTTGGTTGGTCATGGAGTTTGAACTCTGGCCCTGGGTGCAGTTCCTCAGCTCTTCAGCTCAGGGTGAGTGCTCTACCACTTGAGCACAGCACCACTTCTGGTTTTCTGGTGGTTTATTGGAGATAAGAGTCTCATAGATTTTCCTGTCTGGGCTGGCTTTGAACCATGATTCTCAGATCTCAGCCTCCTGAGTACCTAGGATTATGAATGTGAGCCACTGGTACCCGGCTTGCTTGGCCTTTTGGCTCAAGGCTGGAGCTCTACCACTTAAGCCACAGCATGATTTGAGAAAAAGCTCAGGGACAGCACCCAAACCCTAAGTTTAAGCCCTAGGACAGGCAGGCACAAACAACAATAACAAAACAACTTTTATGCCAGGCACCAGTGGCTCACACCTGTAATCCTAGCTACTCAGGAGGCTGAGATCTGAGGATCTCGGCTCAAAGCCAGCCTGGGCAGGAAAGTCCATGAGACTCTTAACTCCAGTAAACCAACAACAAACCGAAGTGGTGCTGTGGCTCAAGTGGTAGAGCGCTTGCCTTGAGCTGAAGAGTGCAGGAACAGCGCCCAAGCCCAGAGTTCAAGCCCCATGGCCGACAAAAACAAAAGAAAACAAAAACAACTTTCATGTCTGGGCTGGCCTCAAACTACAATCATCCATTCTTGGCCTCCCAAGTAGCTAGGATGACAGGTGTGAGTGACTGATGCCTGGCTGCATTTTATTTGCTGGAAGTAATGTTGACCTGAATGTCTGTGGCCATGTGTGGCTAGTGGCTTCTGTGGCACCCTAGGAAGGAACTCACCCTACCCCGAGGGCTGCCAGGCTCCAGTGGCAGACCTGAAGTCCCACCCAGGGTGGGACAGTCTACATTCCCAGCCTGCCTCGCAGAAACTGAATTAGGTCCTTGCTGGAGGTCAGGGTGGAAGATTTGGAGCTGGGCTAGATTCCTAAGGAGTGGATGGATCAGCCAGCCAGGACTTACCAGCCTGGGGCGCACTCAGGCCTCTGTGCTCTCCCTACCTGTCAGCTGCTCCTGACCCAGTGGCAGACTCCAGATGGTTTTCTTTTTCTGTGCTTGGTGAGTTTTGTTTTCCCAGACAAGAACTGAATATGTAGCCCAGGCTGGCCTCCAACTTGTGATGTTCTCACCTCAGCCTCCCTTGCTTGGACCTCGGGGCCCACTGCCACAATTAGTAACCATGTTGACCTTTTTTGGCTTTCTTCTCTCCCTACCCTTCTGTCCTAAGCATTTCCGTTACCTGCAAACTTCCCACCCAGGGACCCCAACTCCCAGTGTACCTCAATTCACAGCCTTGTGAGCCTTCTCAGGAGTCTCCATCTAAATTCTTGTGCTCCAACCAGAGACTTTCTCCTGAACCAAGCCTCTCCTGTGCTACCCACATCCTTGGCTTTTGCTCACTCGTGTGTGTGTGTGTGTGTGTGTGTGTGTGTGTGTGTGTGTGTGTGTGTGTGTGTGTGTGTGTGTGTGTGTACACGTGGGCGCCCGCTGGTCTTGGGGCTTGAACTCAGGACCTGGGTGTTGTCTCTGATGTTTTCACTCAAGGCGGGTGTCTACCACTTGAGCTACAGCTACACTTCTGGCTTTTTGGCTGGTGAATTGGAGATAAGTCTCATGAACGTCCATGTCCAGGCTGGCTTTGAACCATGGTCCTCAGATCTCAGCCTCCTGAGTCACTAGTATTAAAGACATGAGCAACTGGTGCGCCCAGAAGGCACATTTTTTCTCCCCAGTACTGAGGTTTGAATTCTGGTCTTCAAGGTCTGGCTTTCTGGCTCACTGCTGGCACTGTACCTCTTGAAGCCATAAGGCTCCCAAGGCAACCTGGAACCCCTGCAAGGCCCAGATTCTTTTTGGTGGTGGTAGTGGTGGCAGGGTCTCCCTTTGTAGTCTGATAGGTTCCTCAGGCCTTAGCCTCTACGGGGCAGGGATTAGGTATATATATCACCTCCCCTGGTCTAGATTTATTTCTGATCTGTCACAGCTATGGTATACCTAAGGGCAGGGATAGTCTGGTGCCTGTCAACTTAAGAGTAACAACCTTGGTGTAGGAAACAAGAAATGGAACACAGGATGGGCAGGGCAAGCAGAAGGAGCTCAGCTCCCAGTCCTGTTGTGAGGCATTTAGTTGGAGGTGACAGACTGCTTAGCTTGCTGTCCTCCCAGAATGAGGACGTTTGCCAACTCTGCCATCAACTGAGGGAGGGGCAGTCCCCTCTAGAGGATTCAGCCTTCACTCTGGTGTTTCCCACTTTAGCGTGGTGGAGCTTGGGGATTGTGGCTTAACTATGGCTTAACTGACAACAGTGCTAGCCTGGGTTGGGGGATGGGGGGGAGGGAAGGAAGATCTGAAGTTCCAGCCCAGCCTCGACTACAGACTGAGATCCTGGCTCAAAAACCAAAACCAAAGGGAAAGAGCTGAGGTAGGAGCTCTGGGGCAGAGCACCTGCTGAGTGCATGCAAGGCCTCATCCCATCCTACACAACAAAACTGCATACATAGCTATGCCAGAGGCTCACACCTGTAATCCCAGCTACTCAGGGGGCTGAGATCTGAGGATCATAGTTCAAAGCCAGCCTGAGCAGGAAAATACATGAGATTTTTTTTTGTTGTTGTTGGTCATGGGGCTTGAACTCTGGGCCTGGGAGCCATCCTGGAGCTCTTCAGCTCAAGGCTAGTGCTCTACCACTTGAGCCAGTGTCACTTCCCCTTTTCTGGTGGTTAACTGGAGATAAGAGTCTAACAGGGGGTGGGAAGGTAGCTCAGTGGTAGAGTGCTTGCCTTGCATGCATGAGGCCCTGGGTTCGATTCCTCAGCACCACATAAGCAGAAAAAGCTGGAAGTGGCACTGTGGCTCAAGTGGTAGTGTGCTAGCCTTGGGCTGAAGAGCTGAGGGACAGCGCCCCAGGCCCAGAGTTCCCAGGCCCCACAACTGACAAAAAAATAAAAAAATAAAAAAAAGTCTCACAGACTCTCCTGCCTGGGCTGACTTTGAAGCCTGATGATCTTCAGATCTCAGCCTCCTGAGTACCTAGGATTATAGGCGTGAGCCACCAGCATCCAGCCTCCTTTAGACGCTTATCTCTAATGAACCACTAGAAAACCAGAAGTGAACCAGAAGTGGTGGTGTGGCTCAGCGATAGAATGCTAGCCTTGAGCAAAAAAAGCTCAGGAAAGGTGGTCAGGCCCTGAATTCAAGCTTCATGGAGGGTGGCTAGGTCTTACCAGGTACCCAGACTGACCCTAGCCAGGGCCCTTCTGCTACAGACTGCCAAATGTGGGGATAAGGGTGTACTACTGCTTCCCGCTGGGGCCCTCCTAGAAGAGGACACCTGTGCTTTGTGAGGCTGTGAGCCCTGCAGGGGGAGGCTGAGGGTAGCTGAGGGGGCACATGGGGGGGCAGGGCTGAAGCCCAAGGTGCAGGCCCAGTAGGGTTGCTGGATGGCTGGAAAGAATGCCCCAGTGCTCTATAGCACCCTGATAAGTGCACATTTGCTCACAAGTGTAAGAAGCACTGGAGAAAGGGGAACAGACTGTCTTCCCTGCCCTGTGGGCCGCAAGCAGCAGGTGTCAGCTCAGGAGGCTGAGTGCCTCTGCCTCCTCAGCCCCCAGCCAGGCCAGTGTCTCATGCCTGTAATCCCAGCTTCCAGCCAAGCCGGCACCTCACCAGTGGCTCATACTTAGCTGCTCTGGAAGCTGAGAGCTGAAGATCATAGTTCAAAGCCAGCCTAGGCAGGAAAAAAAAATCCATGAAACCCCTATCTCCAAAAAGCCAGAAGTCTCAAGTGGTGGAGCACTAGCCTAAGGGTCCTAAGTGCTAATCCAAGGGTCCTAAATTCAAGTCCTAGTATTGGTATATGTGCACATGCCCACACATATACACACACACACAAATACATTCCTAAGTAAACCCTCCATTCTACCCAGTTTTGGCTTCCTTTAAAAAAGGAGACAGGGGCTGGGAAGGTGGCTCAGTGGTAGAGCGCTTGCCTTGCATGCCTGAGGCCCTGGGTTTGATTCCTCAGCACCACATAAGCAGAAAAAAAAGCCAGAAGTGGTGCTGTGGCTCAAGTGGTAGAGCGCTAGCCTTGAGCTGAAGAGCTGAGAGACAGCACCCAGGCCCAGAGTTCAGGCCCCACAATTGGAGCCCCCCCCAAACAAAAGAGAGAAACAGGGTCTGGTTAATGTATCCCAGGAGACCTCAAACTTGAGCTTCTCTTGCTTCAGCCTCTTTAGTGCTGGGATTACAGGGTTGGATGTCTGTAATCCTAGCTATTCAGAAGGCTGAGATCTGAGGATCGAGGTTCAAAGCCAGCCCAGGCAGGAAAGTCCATGAGACTCTTATCTCCAATTAATCACCAGAAAACTGAAGTGGCGCTGTGGCTCAAGTGGTAAAGCACTTGCCTTGAGCTGAAGAACTCAGGGTCAGCAACAGGCCCAGAGTTCAAGCTCCATGACTGCTTAAAAAAAAAAAAAGAGACAGGGTCTGGTTAATGTATCCCAGGAGACCTCAAACTTGAGCTTCTCTAGCTTCAGCCTCTTCAGTGCTGGGATTACGGGTGTGTGACATCATGCTCAGTCCATTTCAGCTTCTGATATCTTCTTGTGTCCTGTCTGGGCCCCCACTTCTGCCCCATCTGACTAGGCTTTGTCAGATGACCCCACCCTGCTTATGAACTTCTCCCCAGACACACACAAGGAAGGCCTGGGGGGCACAGACTTTATTGTTCCGAGTGCCTGCATGGTTTCTGGGCAGGGGGAGCATGTCCCGCCCCTCTTAGCCTGCTCAGATTCTTTTCCAAGTTCAAAGTGCACTGAGAGAGCTTCACAGTTTTAATGTCCCCGATCTGAACTGAGGCAAGGTGACAAAATGGCCCTCCCACCCCCACCCGCCAAGGAAAGAAAACCCCAAGCCCCCAGCAGCTGCTGCTCCAGCCTTATGAAAAAATAATACAAACTCTCCTTAAAAAATAGATTACACAGAAAGAACCCAGAGGACGGGGGATGCCAGGGGAGGGGCGGGGCGGCTGCAGCTTTGGGGAACAGGATGGGATGGGAGAGGAACCTCAGCCATGGCCCCCCTGGCTTCCCTCCTCCTCAGGGACCCTCTTCACCCTGAGGCCTGGTACCTTCTTACTAAAGTGGCTTTGATTTAAAGAAAAAAAAAAAAAAAGGCCCAAAGCAGGGGGAGGGGCCGCAGCCAGGCCTGCACCAGGGCCTTTCTCTCTCTCTCTGAGATTTGCGTTTTATCATGATCTGCTTCTACACTGACACCCCAGGGGTGGGGGGGGGGAGCATCAGGTCCTGGGACGGCCCCTGTGGTGCTGGGCACACTGTCTGGCCCCTCTCAGCCCAGCCGGGCTCAGAGGCACCGCGGGCAGATGTGTGTGGGTGGCAGGTGGGCGTCAAGAGCAAAACTCCCTGGGCCCCAGCTCATGCAAGGAGAGGTGAGGGGTGGCCCCACCGAGGCAGAGGTAAGGTAGGGCAAGGTGGGGTGTGCACAGCCCTGGGGCCTGGGCAGAGAGGGCAGGGGCACGGTCTGCAGGGGGCGCTGCTGTGCCAGGCTTGGCTCTGGAGACAGGTTGAGTGCTGCTGCCCTGTGCCTGGTGACGGAGTGGGAGTCTGGTGTGGGTGGGTGCTGGGGTGGGGTTGGGGCGGCGTCTGGCTGGGCTCAGTCGGGGACCTCGGGGTGGGCAGGCAGGCCGCTCTCGCCTCGCCGGTACGTCTCCCAGAAGCCCCTCTCCAGCTGCTCCAGCTGTGGGCCCAGTGGCAGGTGGCCGGCCACGTGCATGCGGAGCGACTCCAGCCACTGCTGCAGCTTCATGAAGGAGGGCCTGGGGATGGGAGACACCAGGGGATGGGGGGGCGTGGGCTGGCTGGCTCTGCTGGGGAGTGGCCCACCCACTCACAGTCCCCCACTCACCTCTTCTCAGGATCCAGGTCGCAGCAGTGCACAGCGATGGGGAAGAAGCTGGGGGGGCAGCTGGGGGGGCAGTAACGGTCCAGAAAGCCCCGCACGTTGAGGCCAAAGTCCATGGTGCGTGGCAGGTAGTCAGGGTCTGCGTTCACCCGCCCGATGATCTGTTCCGCATGAGGCCACGAGTTAACCTGGGGCCCTCTGACTGGGAGTCTGGGGGCTCAAGGGCAGGTCACGCAGGCTGGGGCTGGGGAGTATAGATGTTGCCCAGGCCCGTGCCGCCAACCTTCACTCCTACCTCACACAGGACAATTCCAAAGGAAAACACGTCCACCTTCTCATCATAGCTGCGGCCTGCACAGAGAGACCTGGGGTCAGTGAGGACAAAGTTGGCAAAAGCCAGGTGGGAAGGGGGAACTGCTAGACATGACCCCCAACCTTGCCAGGTCCTAGGAACCCTGAGGACTAGAAGGTCCAGGCATGTTGGCTACGGTGGCCTGTGCCAAAATTCTAGCACTTGGGAAGTAGGGAGGCCAGCCTAGGCAAAAAAGTTCATGAGACCTCATTTCAAAACGTAAGACCAGGGGCTGGGAAGGTGGCTCAGTGGTAGAGTGCTTGCCTCCTTGCATGCCTGAGGCCCTGGGTTCGATTCCTCAGCACCACATAAGCAAGAAGAAAAAAGCCGGAAGTGACAAGTGTGGCTCAAGTGGTAGAGCGCTAGCCTTGAGCTGAAGAGCTGAGGGACAGCGCCCAGGCCCAGAGTTCAGGCCCCAAGACTGGACCCCCCCCAAAAAAAAAACAAAAACAAAAACAAAAAACAAAAACAAAACGTAAGACCAGTGTGGTGGTTTGTGCTTGTGATCCCAATTACTCAAATTGTGTAGGTAGGAGGGATGAGGTCCCATGCTAACCCCAGGCAAAAGTGTGAAGCCCAATCTGAAAAACAGCAGAAGCAAAAAGAGGTGGAGGTGTGGCACAAGGAGTAGAGTCCCTGCTTAGCAAGGACTCAGTTGTGGGTTCAAAACCCAGTACTTCCGGGTAAATCATGGACTTTGTCTGTCCAAAAACAATCAGGTCAAAACTTGGAATGATTCCATTGGGGGAGTTTTAGAGTGGGGTGACGCTCAGGGAGAGGCACAAGCTAAGCTTATGCAATTTGATCTCCAGCATTGCAAAAAATGAATAAATAATATAAATAAATAAATAAGTGAAAAAAGTTCGGAGCTGTAATTCTAGCTACTCAGGAGGCCAAAATCTGAGGACCACGGTTCAAAGCCAGCCTGGGCAGGAAAGTCCGTTAGACTCTTACTTTGTATACATATATGAAAGTAGAGCATGGGCTGGGAATGTGGCTTAGTGGTAGAGTGCTTGCCTAGCATGTATGAAGCCCTGGGTTCTATTCCTCAGTACCACATAAACAGAAAAAGCCAGAAATGGCACTGTGGCTCAAGTGGTAGAGTACTAGCCTTAAGCAAAAGAAGCTCAGGGACAGGGCGTAGGCCCTGAGTTCAAGTCCTAGGACTGGCCAAAAAAGAAAAAAAAAAAAAAAAAAGTAGAGCAATGAAGCCTATTACAACTGTAAGGAGGAGTGGAGTGAGGGAAAGGGATGGAGAGGTGAGGTAAGGGGGTACATTGTATGCCCTGTGGAATGTCACAAGGAGACTCCCCCTTGTACAACTAATGCATCTCCCAAAACCACAATAAAACCAAGGAGGACTGCCATGGTGGTGAGCAGAATAGCAACCAGTAGGCCAGGATTTTAGGGCCCCCAGAACAGGGCTGTCAACACTGCATAGGGCAGGCTAGCTAGGGTCCACACAAACTCTATTCCCAGCACTGTGCTGGCCGACCCAGCTGCCTGCTCTGAACTGGTGTTTTGTGTGTCACCTGCTTGTCAAGGAGCCTACAAAGGACCAGGAGAACTGGGGGAGGTCATCCTGGATTATCCACAGGGCTCAGGGTCACTGGGGGAAGGCGGTGTATGCCTGTAATTCTAGCTACTCAGGCAAGGAAATGGGGTGTGTATGGAGGTGTGGGGGTGTACACTGGTAATCCCAGCACTGGGCAGCTGAGGCAGGACAGCAAGCTGGAGGCCAGTTTTGGCTATGTAGTTAAGACCCTATCTCAAAAATAAAAAGGATGGAAACAGGGTCTGAGAGCCAAGGAATGAGAAGCTGTATGGAAGCCAGAAAAAAACTGGGAAGATTTGCCTGGACCTAAGAGCCTGCAGGACTAGGCGGCTGACCTGTGATTTCAGCCTGGGGAGACTGGGGTTGGACTATTTTTGTTGTTGTTGTTGTTGGTTGTGGGGCTTGAACTCTAGGCATGGGTGCTGTCCCTGAGTTCTTCAGTTAAAGGTGAGCATTCTATGACTTGAGCCACAGAGCTACTTCCAGTTTTCTGGTGGTTAATTGAAGATAAGAGTCTCACGGACTTTCCTGCCCCCGCTGGCTTTGAACCGTGATCCTCAGATCTCAGCCTCCTGAGTAGCTAGGATTTGTTGTTGTTGTTGTTGTGCCAGTCCTAGGACTTGAACTCAGGGTCTGGGTGCTGTCCTTGAGCTTCTTTTGCTCAAGGCTAACGCTCTACCACTTGAGCCACAGTGCCACTTCTGGCCTTTTCTGTGTATGTGGTGATGAGGAATAGAACCCAGGGCTTCAGGCATGCTAGGCAAATGCTCTACCACAGAGCTACCTTCCCAGCCTGAGGCTGGACTTCAGACCTTCAGGACCGCACAATAGTTTGTTATGGACGCCTCCAAGTATGTGGAAATGTCTTATAGCTGCAGCATAACAAATACAGGACCCAAGTGGAATGGCAAGGGCTGGGGAGTGGGGTGGATCTGAGCGGAGGGGTGGAGAGCTGGTGGAGGCGGGGCCAGGAAGAGCCATGGTGGGGCAAGGTGCCTTCGTGGGTGGGGTCTCTGGCATAGGCGGGGCCTGGAGGGGGTAGGGCCAGCTTACCATTGATCATCTCTGGTGCCATCCAGTATGGGTTGCCCACCACCGTGTAGCGCTTTTTGCGGTCTGGCTTCTTGAGGCTGCGCAGGTCTTCAGGCTGTGGTTTCTCATCAACCATGAGGCGAGCCAGCCCGAAGTCGGCCACCACCACGTTCTTGTTCTGCGAAATTAAGGGTACAGGGTTCTGCTGGGGCAGGTCCTGCTTAGCCTGCTCCTCACTGGCACCCCCCTCCAACCCCCGCACCCCAATACACCTCTGACATCCAGTGACCTCTGAAGGGTAGTGGATTGCACCCACCCCTACTCCCCTGCTTTCTGCAAACAAGCTGTTTGAAGCTCCTGAACTGGCTGCCAGTGTGACCCCACACCCATGTCCCAGGCCGGCCTCAAACAACCATTCTCCTATCTCCAACTCCCCACTAGCTAGAATTACAGAAGTGTGCCAGTGTACTTGGTTCCAAGCCAGGAAGCCTTGACACAGGGTCCTCAGACCACATCCCCACTGGGCAATGGTTGTTAATGGCCTATGCCACCAGGACAGGTCGGGGGCTGGCTCCTGTCCTGTCCCTCAGAGGGCTTGACCTGGACTTGAGGATCTGTACTGTAAAGAGTCTCTTCTGTTGTGATACATGGGTCTGAAGCCCCTGACAGTGAGGGATGCAGTGGGGTTCTCAGAGCCTCCACAGTGAGGACAAAAGGTGCTGGGGTTGGACCCCAGGACCTTGTATATTGTAAACATGCATTCTGGAGCAAAAGCATAGTTCAGGCTGGGTGCCTGTGGCTCACACCTGTAATCCTAGCTACTCAGGAGACTAAGATCTAAGGATCGCAGTTCCGTGCCAGCCCTGGCAGGAAGTCCGTGAGACTCATCTAGAATTAACCACCAGAAAACTGGAAGTGGTGCTGTGGCTCAAGTGGTAGAGCACTAGTCTTGAGCTAAAAAGCTCAGGGACAGTGCCCAGGCCCAAAGTTCAAGCCCCCAAATCGACAAACAACAACAACAAAACAAAACAAAAACAAAAACACAACTCAGTCCAGACACACTGGAGGACAGGAGGGTTTGTGGCTCTGATCTTGGGGTCATCGAGGCTGTAGTATGGAGGCTGAGCAGACTCCTGAAAGGCTTGCTGAGCTTCTGCCTTATTCACGGCTCCCCTCAGCTTGGGGACTTCTGAAGGTGAGGGCTTCCCTCCCTTCACAGCAAGGGCCTTCCTGAGCAGCAGCACCACCCCCCTCCCGCCCTCCCAGGGAAGCCACTCTGGCAAAGGTACTCAAGCTGTCTGCAATGTGATGAGCTAGGGAGGCAGCCAGGGGGCCTCCATGAAGGCAGGCTGGGAGCATGGTGGATTCTGTGCCCCCAGTGCAGGGCCCCTGCTTACCTCTCGAACGAGGCAGTTGTGCGAGTTGAGGTCCCGGTGGATAATGTTCATGGAGTGGAGGTAGGCCTGGCGGTATGAGGAGGGGGCTCAGGAGGCAGCTGCTGGCTCCTCTTCTCCCGCCTCTTCCTGTCTCCCACCCCCACCCCCCAGCCTCATTCCCTGCTGAAGCATCCTCCCTGCAGTGCCCTACCCCCAGCCTCATTCCCTGCTGAAGCATCTTCCCTGCAGCGAGAGGCGGGGCTATCTTCACAGGGGCAGCAGGCTACCTGCCACTCACCATTCCTGCAGCGATGTCCTTGGCAAAGCTCACCCTCTGGCTCCACGGATACTGGCTGTCCTGGGGATGAAGGACAATGGCTAGGATGGAGCCAGCAGAGCCAAGGTGGGGACACAGAGGTGACAGTCACAGGATCCCAGTGTTTGAGAGGGGCAGAAGTTAGCCGGCTCCCTCTTGTATACACCTTTTAAGGTGTGTAGACCGATCAAATATCTTTTTTGGCATTTTGTTGGTAAAATGGAGATTAGAGACTCATGGACTTTTTTGTCTCGGCTGTTTTTTTTTTTGGCCAGTCCTGGGGCTTGAACTCAGGGCCTGGGTGCTGTTGCTGAACTTTGTTGCTCAAGGGTAGCACTCTACCAGCTGGGGCACAACTCTACTTCTGGCTTTTTGCTGGATAATTGGAGATAGAGTTTCATGGATTTCCTGCTCAGGTTGGCTTTGAACTGTGAGCCTCAGATCTCAGCCTCCTGAATAGCTAGGATTACAGGCGTGAGCCACTGGTGCCTGGCAAGGTTATGTGTGTTTTACTGTGGCTGTATAGGAATTATATTTACATATTGAAATGTCAGCATGTTCTGTTTTATCGAAGAAAAGAAAACAAAATGAGCTTGGTGTTTATGGCTCAGGTCTGGGATCCTAGCTATTCAGGAGGCTGAGATCTAGGGAATCATAGTTCAAAGCCAGCCCAGGCAAAAAAGTCCACAACACTCAATCTCCAATTAGCTAGCAAAATACCACACTGGAGGTGTGGTTCAAGTGTGAGCAGGTATGTAAAGCAAGCTTAAGGTTCTAAGTTCAAACTCCAGAACTAGCTCCTGCCTTACCCACAGGTCCCCTCAGCTTGGGGCCTCAATTCTTCCATCCACCACAGCCTCTGGAGTGTTGAGATTACTAGTGTGCTCTACTACACCTAGCCTGCGGACAACTTTGAAATCTTACAAGTTGTTTGTGTAAACTTACAAAAAAAATTTTTTTTTGGTGGTGCTGGACTGGAACTCCCCAGGGCCTTGTATATGCTAAGGAAAGTACTCTACCACTGAGTTACATCCCAGGCCTAAGCTCACTTTAAAAAAAAGCCAAGGGCCGGGCGCTGGTGGCTCACGCCTGTAATCCTAGCTACTCAGGAGGCTGAGATCTGAGGATCGCGGTTCAAAGCCAGCCCGGGCAAGAAAGATCGTGAGACTCCTATCTCCAATAAACCACCAGAAAACCGGAAGTGGCGCTGTAGCTCAAGTGGTAGAGCGCTCGCCTTGAGCTGAAGAGCTGAGGGACAGCGCCCAGGCCTAGAGTTCAAGCCCCACAACCGACAAAAAAAAAAAAAAAAAGCCAAGGGTGGTGCCACAGTTGTGGGCAGGCCGGTCCTGAGGGTGGAGCCACGATTGTGGGCAGGGCCATGGCAGTGGGCGGGGCCAGCGCTCACCATGCTCTTGATGATGCTCCGCAGGGTGCCCCCTTTGATGTACTCGGTGATGAAGTTCAGCCTCTTGTCCTTGTACAGCACCCCAATGAACTTGAGAACGTTGGGGTGCTCTAGGCACCGCATGACCTTCACCTGGTGGGGTACACACAGTCTAGGCTCACTCCCCTTCTCCTCTAGCCAGAGCCAGCCAGTCTTAAGGAGCAGGGCTGCAAGCCCCAGTCCCTCCATCACCCTCTCGCTTCCAGAGGCCTGTCAATGCCAGGAGTGTCACTGCACCCCAGAGCCCTGCGCCCCCTCAGTGGGCAAGGTCCCCAGGAAGGCCGACCTCACCCACCTCCTTGAGGAACGTCCTCTGCGTCTCCTCATCAAAGCGGATCAGCTCCTTCATCACCATCACCTCCCCTGTCTCCCGGTGAGTCACCTGTGTGCACAGCGGAACCGAGGTACAATGCAGGGACATCCAGGAGCCTACAGATGTCCCAGGGACAATGGGATACTGGGGGTAGGGAGCACCCTCCCTTTACAGGGGAAGAAACCAAGGCCCTGCAGTTTCCTGGCTGGCCAGAGGTTTGGGACCGGCCTGGCCGGGCCGGGTCAGCTCCTGGCTCTCCTGGAGAATGAATGGCGGCTCATGGGCCCATGGGCTCCTCACCCAGTCCCCAGCATCTCTGAAGCACCTTTTGTATAATCCTGACCCTCGCAGCCTGGTCACAGCCAGGGACACTAGGATCAGGGCCAGACCCCTAACCCAGAGAAGAGGAGCCTGGATGCCAGGCTGGGTAGGGAGAGGAAGAGGTCTTCGCAGCCAGCCCATCCTTACAACATACCTTGATGGCCTGGCCGAAGCAGCCCTTGCCCAGCACCTCACCATGGATGAGGTCAGAGGGCCGGAAGATGCGGTGCGGCCGGCAGACCACACGGAGGGACTCTGAGCGACCCAGGTCCTTGCGCTGGGAGGCCGGCGAAGCCAGAGAGCCCGCACCGGGGGATGTGTCGATGCTGCAGCTTCTCCTGGAAGGCATGGGTGCCCAGTGCCATGGGGACATGACACCTGGTCCCTCTTCTGCACCCTTCTATGCCATCCCAATTCAAGGATGCCCTAGACCCTGGCCCCATTTGCATTCTGGAGCCAGCATCCAGCTCCCTTCACTTCTGCTGTCCTGACTGGGCTATTAGTATGCCAGTGTGGGGAATGTAGCCTCTGACTTCCCTGTCCCCCACCCAAGGCTGGAGGACCTCTCTTCCAGATTCTGGGGGACAGGGACAGAGACTTGTTAAGATGCCCAGTGGCTCTGGGCTTTTTCCTCTAGCCCCCAATCCCATCTCTGTTCAAAGATATGGGACCTGGACCCCAGAAGCCGACTCACTGGCTCTGGTATTCTGTCTTATGAAGGAGAGCAGAATTCACACACACACACACACACACACACACACACACACACACACACACACACACACACACACACACACACACACACACACACACACACACACACACACACACACACACACACACACACACACACACACACACACACACACACACACACACACACCTGGGACTTAAACCTAAGTCTTGGGTGCTGTCTCTGGGCTTTTTCTGTCTTATGAAGGAGAGCAGAATTCACACACACACACACACACACACACACACACACACACACACACACACACACACACACACACACACACACACACACACACACACAGGACTTAAACCTAAGTCTTGGGTGCTGTCTCTGGGCTTTTTTGCCGAAGGACAGCACACTATCATTTGAGCCACAACTCCAACTCTAGCTTTTTGCTAGTTAATTGGAGATAAGAGTCTCAAGGGCTTTCCTGCCTGGGTTGATTCAAACCATGATCCTCAGATCCTGGCTTCATAATAATGTTTTTTCGGGGTCAGTAACAGGGATTGAACTCAGGGCCTCACCCTTTCCACACAAGCACTTCACCACCTGTCACACGTTTACTTATTTTTTTTTTGGGGTCCTGTCATGGGGCCTGAACTCTGGGCCTGGGTGCTGTCCCTCAGCTCTTCAGCTCAAGGTTAGCGCTCTACCACTTGAGCCACAGTGTCACTTCTGGCTTTTTTCTTTTTGCTTACGTGGTGCAGAGGAATCGAGCCCAGGGCCTCAGGCATGCAAGGCAAGCACTCTACCACTGAGCCACCTTCCTAGCCCACTTTTTTAAAATGTTGTGAGGCTTGAACCCAAGAGCCTGGGCATTATCCCTGAGCCTCTTTGTGTTCAAGGTTAGAGCTCTACCACTTGAGCCACAGAGCCACTTCTGGCTTTTTCTAGGTAGTTTATTGGAGGTATGAGTCTCAGACTTTCCTGCCTAGGCTGGCTTTGAACTACAATCCTCAGCATTCAGACTCCTGAGTAGCTAGGATTACAAGTATGAGCCAGCAGTACCTGGCTCAGCCTATTTTACTTTAGTTTGCTCCCCAGAGTCTTGTGCTTTTGCCTGGGGCTGGCCTGGGACCACAATCCTCCTATTCATCCCCCCCCATCCCATGTAGCTGCAATTAATTACAGGTATGTGCCATCTGGTCCACAGAGTCTTCACAAAACACACTATTCTGTGGCAATACCCCTTTCATGGGGGCTTCTGCCCTTACTAGCTAGGGAGGTGGCGGACTGGAGGCCAGGTCCTGGGCCTCTGAGGCCCAGGGACAAGGGACAGTGGGGTGCAAGTCCCTGAGATCTGAGGCCTAGGGACAAGGACAGTAGGGTACAGGGGGACTTACAGCACAGGTTTCTGCCGGGCAGAACCTCCAGCTTCCTGGTTGGGGGTGTACAATGGGGAGCCCAGGGGGCTGGGCTCAGACCCTGGCCCATGGCCCAGTGTATCATGAGGGTCGTGTTCCAGAGTCAGCTGGAGCAGGCGGCTGGTTTCCTGGATCAGCAGGTCAATCTAGGGGACAGGTGTATGGACAGGTGAGCCAGTGGTGGCCATGGGGGAGGGCCTAGGCTCTGCCTCCACCCACTCTGGCCGACCTCATCCAGTGGCACGTTCCTTATGGGTGTGCCGTTGATTTCCAGGATCCTGTCTCCCACATGGATGGAATTCTTCACGTCTGGGCTCATGCAGCCTGGGTCCACGCTGTGGGCAGAGGAGTGGTCAGATGGTCCTCTCGCAACTCAAAACGGGGTGGGGGGTGGGGGAGGCTGCAGGGATGAGGGAGTAAATGATTCTATCTTGTATGGTTCAGTATTCTTCAGAATGCTGAGCTCTTATGAGGTTAATGATTTCTGTAATTGATTATTGGTGCCTGACATGGGCAGGCAAACATAATGGAGATGTTCAGGGGCTCCAGTTAATAGACTGTTACTCCCACTGTGTAGCGCCAAGCTGTCCTTCACAGTCTGCCATGCTGGGATCAGACAAATACAAGATGGATCTTAACTGGGTACAGATCCACCAGCTTCCCACCCAACCCCAACTCACCCAGCAGCAGCAGCCAGCAGCCCGCTCTGTGCCATGGGGCAGGCCGGGGATAGGCATGATTGGGAAGTCATAAGCGAACTCAGAACAGCCGATGTACCAAATTCCCTTCTTGTGCTTCTTTTAACTGCTTGGTGCTTGGTGTTAGTTGGTTTCTGGTTTCCATTTATTCTCATAGGTAGGTTGTGTTTTTTGTTTTTGTTTTGTGAGACAAGGCCTCTCTATAGTACTCAACTTGTGATCCTTTTGCCTGTCTCTTGAATGCTCGGATTACAGGCATGCATGATCACACCAGGCTCTCATAAATGCTGTGCATAGCTATAACCCCAGCTATTTAGCAAGCAGAGATAGGAAGACCAAAATTCATAACCAGGGACTGAGAATGTGGCTTAGTAGTAGAGTGCTTGTCTAGCATGCATGAAGCCCTGGGTTCAATTCCTCAGTACCACATCAACAGAAAAAGCCAGAAGTGGTGCTATGTCTCACATGGTAGATGCTAGCCTTGAGCAAAAGAAGCTTGGGAACAGTGCCCAGGCCCTGAGTTCAAGCCCCAGGTCTGGCAAAAAAAAAAAAAAAAAGCAAACAAAAAAACCAGGCTGTGTACATGAGTGAGTGTGTGTGTGTGTGTGTGTGTGTGTGTGTGTGTGTGAATGTGATACTGGGGTTTGAACTTAGGGCACCATGCTCTCCCTTAGTATTTTTAATTTCCCTTGCTCAACGCTGGCACTCTACCTCTTGAGCTACACTTCCACTTCTGCCCTTGTGATGGCTAACTGGAAGTAAGAATCTCTCATCTGGGCTAGCTTCAAACTGCATTTCTCAAATCTCAGTCTCCTGAGAAGCTGAGATTACAGTTGTGAGCTACTGAGCTTTTAAAGGCTTTTAAAGGAATTTTCTTCTCCTAGTTCTTTGAGATAGGGGAAACAGATTGGAAGTAAGGCACTGAGGAGACAGAGTTCAAGAAAAAAAAATGAGCCCAGTGCCAGTGTTTCATGCCTGTCATCCTACTACTCAGGAGGCTGAGATTGAGGATCGTGGTTTGAAGCCAGCCCAGGGCAGGAAAGTCTGTAAGACTCTTTTTCTTTCTTTTTGTCATTTGGGGCCTGGGCACTGTTCCTGAACTCTTTATACTCAAAGCTGGTATACACTTTGAGCCACAGTGCCACTTTCTTTTTTCTGGAGCTTATTGGAGATATGAGTCTCATGACTTTTCTGCCTGGGCTGGCTTTGAACAGCAATCCTCAGATCTTAGTCTCCTGAGTAGCTAGGATTACATGCATGAGCCACCAGCACACGGCATATATGACTCTTCTCTCTAATGACCCACCAGAAAACAGGAAGTAGTGCTGTGGCTCAAAGTGCTAGAGTGGTAACGTTGAGCAATAAAGCTCAGGGACAGCACCCAAGCCCTGAGTTCAAGTCCCGTGACCAACAAAACGACAATAAAACAAAAAAACAATGATTTACAGAAATTTTCCTTTTTGGAAGCAGGGTCTTGATATGTAGCTCAGAATAGCCTCAAACTGGATCCTCCTGCCTCAGCCTCCTTAGCACTGCGATTACAGGCGTGGACCAATATGCCTTATCCTTTCCTTCCTGTGGGGATAGTAGCACCCACAAGGGTTCATGCACATGAGCAAGTGCACTTAGCTGCTCCTACCCTTCACTGCTGGGAGTGGCAGGAAGCCGGCCAGTGAATGCACAGGTTGATGCCTGAAGTCAGCACATCCTTCATGTAGGGCGCTGACTGACTGATTCATGTTCTCTGCCATAAAGGATTTTTGCCCTTTGTAATCAAGAAGCTGTTTTGTAAGATTGTAGTCTAAATAATCTGTATTTTTGCCAGGCACCCATGGTAGAGCACCAGCTGTGAGCAAGAAAGCTGGGTGGGCTGGGCACTGGGTGTCTCTTGCCACCCGCTATGAGATGAGTAGTGGCTCTCCCACACCCCACTGCTGGTCCACTTACCGTAGACCCTGACCCCATGAAGCTGTGACCTAAAACCAGTTCTCTCCCTGCCTAAGCTGTTCACGTCAAGTGTTATATCTCAGAAACCCAACATGTCACCGCTGGGTCCCTCTGAAGCCATGCTTCACCCATCCTCAGGTCCCCAATCCTGACCTGCCACACACCTGCAACTGTGGCCATGGCCACTTACTATACCCTCCCTGCCTCCCCCTCCTTCCCCCCCCCCCCCCCGCTGCCTTGGCCAGCCGTCACTCACCCCTGCACACGAACAGTGCGGGAATGCTCTGAGCTGCAGCCTGGAGGTCCATGAGGGGGGTCGATGGAGACGGACAGGCCTCGTTTGCCATGGGCAGAGGCGGGGATGGATACCAGAGTGACCGTGTGGGGCAGGTGGGAGCCGGGGGAGTCGGGCAGGATGTGCTCGATGACAGGGGTCACCACGGTCTGATAGTAGCAGTGTCCACTGGGGGAGAGAGGACAGGCTCAGCCCCACCTCCCAGCAGCCCCTTCCCCAGCACTCCCTTCAGGATGAGGAGCCCTCCAGGTGGACTCTCCAGGACAGGCTCTGCTGCTAGGCCACTTTTCACCCCTGCTGTGGACAGGCTGTCTCTGTTCCTAGGCCCTAGGGAGATCAAGTCCTGGGCATGAGTTATTTATGAGCCCTGGGGCTGCAATGGCAGGGGAAGGCAGGGGAGGGCGGGCAGGGCAGGAAGGAGAGGCTGGACATCCCCATGACATGTACAACTCCCATGTGCAGTGAGGCGCTCTGGTTGGTGAACATGGGTCCTTTATAATAAACTGGGGTTTCACATGCAGCTCCAGCTGTGTTCGTAGTCGCAAATTATCACAGCAGATGGAGTTGTGGGGTCCCTGTGCCTGGCCAGAGGAGCAAGTGAGTGGCCTGGGGCCCAAATGGGGATCTGAGGTCTGAGGCATGGCTGTCTGGCTAGGGATGGCATCCTAGCTTGTGGGGTTTGTGCCAGTGCTGGTGGCACTGCAGGAAGGGAGCTGGCATGTCTGCCGGGCCTCATCTCTGTCCTATCCAACATTTGTCTTTCACTGCATGCAAGGCTGGGTGTGGGGGCCAGCACCCCAGCACCCCTGTGCCAGGCAGGAGGGCTGGGAGAGGCAGGGTGGGGTGCTCACCAGTACAGCTTGGAGTGTTCCACCAGCGTGTAAGTGTCCCCATCCCCGATGAAAGCCCCGCAGGCGAGGCAGATGAAGCACTCAGGGTGGTACTTGAGCTCCCCGGCCACCTGGTAGGGGACAGTGATGTCCTCAGCCTGCAGGGTCTCTCCCGTGGCTGCCTGGCACATGGTACAGAGCCAGGTGCATGGACAGGGGACAGAGGGACGTGAATACGAGGACATAGTGTGCAAGCAGAGAAGAGGCGAAGGTAGAAGGGAGAGGATGAGGACACCCAGAGCTGGACACTGGACACCACGGGTGGGCATGCACATCCCCATGGCAGTGGGAAGGGACCCCCTGGGCTGGACGCCGTGGGTGCACATGCGCACCCCCATGCCGGTGGAAGGGGCGGCTCACCATGACCAGCCCCTTGGTGATGTGCTCTGAGCAGCCGTGGCACGACTCGCCATAGCGGGCCCAGTAGTCCTTCTTGCAGAAGAGCCGCCCATCCTTTTCGTAGTACTGGTGTGATAGCGCAGCGCCACACTCGCTGCACCTGGTGGAGAGAGCAGCGAGATGGCTGAGATGGCGCCACTGCTCCAGCTCTGCCTCCCCCCCACTGGGCCTGCCCCCACCCCCCCACACCACCCCTCCCCCATCTCCCCCCAACACTGGGCGTGCCCCATTCCCTCCACCCCCCCCTACACCAGGCCTCCCCCATCTCCCCACATACACACCGGGTCTGCCCCTCATCACCCCCCCTACACACACACACTGGGGCTGTCCCCTCATCTCCCCACACATATGGGCATACGCCCCTCCCCACATTGGGCCTCCCCCTACCCCATCCCCATCTCTTCATATACACTGAGCCTGCCCCCATCTCCCCCACCACTGGGCCTGCCCCCTCTTCTCCCCACATATACACCGGGCCTGGCCCTCCCTATCTTCCCCCCTCTCACCTCCTCCCTGGGGCACAAGGCCTGGCAGCGGGCAGGGAAGGATCTGAACCCCATTTAGATGGATCCAAACCCATTTAGCTTCTCAGCAATACCCTATATACAGTGGACACCACATAGAGCAGTTCTACAATAAGGAGCTGCCCACCTACCAGCCTCAGAGACCCCTGTCCCTGGTCACACAGGCCAGGAGGATAGGGTGAGGACTTGTGCTGGGTCCCCAGGCAGGAGAATGGGAGAAACTAGAGGCCCCATCTTAGGGTCTGTGCCCCCCCACCCCAGCAGTTCAGGCAGCACTAGGAGATGCAGTGCCTACTACCACCTCTTCACTCCTGCTGAAACTCCAGGCCACCTGAGGTTCACTGGGGGCCGCTAGGGTGGATGAGCCACATGGCTTCCCAGTCCTGGGCCCCCCATGTATGGCCATAAGCTGTGAAAACCTGCCTTTTTTCACTAAGATGCAAAGTAGGAACGAGGCTCAGTATTAACCAGGATGGATGGGAAGCCAGGATGCAGACAGCCAGCACACAGGGTGTGCTGCTTCCTGGATGCTCAGCACCCGCGTGGTCTGCCAGCTTGTCTCCCTTTTTCCCTTCCCACAGGAAAGCAGCTGGTGTGCAGGGTGCCAGGGCCAGAGTCCCCAGGGCCTCCAGGGATGCTTGGGAGAAACACAGCCCCAGCCGCTAGGACCTACAGCTACCTGCCTGGCCTCTTCCCACACAGGCCAGGTGCCGGGAGGACTGTAGCCAGCGCTCCAGGCAAGTGGGGGACTGGCTTCTGGGGTGCCCCAGGTCTTCATGTACATGGTAGGCCTGGACCGGAGCATAAATGTGAGCTGCAGGGCCAGGACCACTGGGTCACCAGGAAAGGAAGATCCAGGCTCTGGAGGACAAGCTCTGGGCCACCCCCACACAGCCACTGCACTGCTGCAGGCTGGGCATACTTAATTGGCTCAAAAGAACTTGGGGGGAGGAGGGCAGCAAGGCAGCTCAGGACTCTGTTTCTTTAAAGCAATCCAGCTGGTTCCCCATTGTTGGGGAGTCTGCTGGGGCAGAGGAACACAAGCCCTCAAGGTTCAAGGGAACAAAGGTGGGAGTACTAGGCACCCAGGAAGCAGAGGTGGGAGTACCAAGCACCCAAGAAGAAGTGGGAGTACTAAGCACTCAGGAAGCAGAGGTGGGAATACCAAGCACCCAGGATGTGGAGATGGGAGTACCAAGCAACAGGAGCTCTGATATACCAAGCACTGTACCAAGCACTGATGAGTTCTCCCTGGGGCAGGGCAGGGGGGTAGAGGCGGCAGGGGTGGCGGTGGCAGGGTAACAGAGCAGGCCTTAGGGGAAGGTATAGAAAAAGGACCTCACAAGACAGTGAGGTTGGGGAGCCCCCGCCCCCAGCTGCTCCCTCAGTGACTTCCTGCCTGTCCACCAACCACACACTTGGGTCATGAGAGCACCCTTAGCTGTGGTGGACGCTCTGTTTCGCATGCTGCACACACTAGCATTGCTGCTCACTCCTGCAGGACCAGCAGGATCTGGAGTGCCCTCAGTCCTCCCTCCCCCCTGCAGCCCTTCCTTGCCCCCCAACCTTTTCTCAGGACCCCTATGCCATGCGCCTGCCTGGCCCCAGAGAACATTGGTGGTTTGCACGGCACCCTCGGCTGCCTGCCTGAATAACCTGTCTCCACTCGAGGTGGGCTGAGTCCTGCTTCAGGCCTGGCAGGGCCTCACACACCTTTGCTGGAAGAGGGCACACAGGAAGGAGACCCCACCCTCCAGCCTCAACCATCCAGAGGCGGACTCTGAAGGACCCTCTTGTGGACCTGCCCCTCTGCAGGCACCCAATGACAGGTGTGAGGTCCTTTCTTCCTGGAGCCCTCCCCTAGGCCCCAGCCCAAGGGGAGGAGAAAGAGCTGGGAAAATCTGCTTCAAGGGAAGGCCACACTCAAGGCCTAGAAGTTTCGGTACTGGCCTGTGCCCCCACAGCTGCCAACCTGACCATGAGTTTCAGTTCTGCCCTGGAAAGTCCCAGGTGGTCTGCCCCTGTCTCCTCTGCCAGCCGGCCCTCAGGGCTGGGGTCAGGCAGGAGGGGACTCCACATACCTAGCCCCTCGGAAGAAGCGGTTTTTTCTTGGGGCCGGGGCCAGCAGCATCCTGAGCAGCTAGGGCAAGGGACTGGAGGCCTGTAGAGAGCCTGAGTGGCAGACTCAGAGCTTCCCCATCCTATTTCAGGGGCCAGGATTGGAGAGCACATGGGGTGGAGCCAGTGTGGCCACGCCACAGGGGAGGGTCCAGGCCAAGGGGCTTGGTGTGAGCCTGAAGCAGGAAGCGGCTCCAATGCTGTGGTGCAGAGGAAGGGATCTAGGTTCTGACTCTAGGCAGGGAGGTATGGTAAGGGATCTAGGCTCTGACTCTAGGCAGGGAAGCAGGGGGGGAGGGGTCTAGGATCTGACCCCAGGAAGGGAGGTGTGTGTGGGAGGGAGCAATTTGGGCTCTGACTATTCCACTCTGTCTTTCCTCCTGAACCGCTGGAGAGTGCTACCATTTGTGCTCCTCAGCATCTGCCTGGACAAAAGCACTGAGCAGTTAGGCCTCTCTGGGGACAAGGACAGGCTCCTAAGCAGCTGCCTCTTCCGGTGCTTCCCCCAGGGACAGAGGTCGCCTTCCACGGACAGCTCATCTTCGCATGCAAGAACTCTGGAACTGGAAGAAGGGGAGGTTGGACCAGACCCAGACCATGATCAGCCAGCGGCACAAGGCCTTCTTCACCCTGGCAGTGCTCCCAGCCTCAGGGGATGCCTTGGCTGAGGCTCTGGAGGGTTCTTGGAGGGGACCTCACAGGCCGCACTGGGAAAGGGAAGCCTAGAATGCTCAAGCTGGCCAGGCTTTGGGTGGGGGCCTACGGGGTTGGTCAGACCTAGAGAAAGGCCCCAGGGTGGTGATTAAACCCTATGCTAATGCCAGGGGCATGCTGGGCCTGGAGCAGCCCTCCAGCCGCCCTCCTGACTAAGTCTCCCTCCAACCATAAGGCTGCCTGTCCCCCTAGCCTGGGGCTTCCTTGAGGGCAGGCGCCTGACAATGAAGCGGCACCCAAAGGCTCAGATCCTGCATCCAAAGATGCACAGCCAGGTCACCTTCTACAGGCTCCCCCGAAAACATCCATGCAGCTGGGGTGACCCCACTAGCAGGCTCACCAGGCCCCAGAGCGCTGTCTCCACAGCCCCACACTGCCCTGGTCTCTTCCTTGGCTCACCCATTAGAAGGTGGGCTACAGTTTCTGTCAGGGGCAGGCGGAGCTGTGGTAGAGTTCAGGCTTTGCAGCAGGCTGCATGGGGGGACTCCAGGCACCCGCTGGCCTATCTGGGCATTGGTTCTCTGGGACCCAGGAGGGGAGGTTCCACCTGGAAGGGTGTGCAGAGGGACTGCCTCTACCACCTGCCATAGCAGCTTGAGGGGGACAAAGGACTCAGTGCCACCAATGGCTCCTGCCACTAAATGCTTTCAGAGGGAAACGGAGCCTCAGACATCTGGCCAGAGCCCTCCAGAGCCCGCAGGCCCCAGACCTGTCACCAGCACCATTCCCAGCCCCGCCCCTTCAAAGCTGCAGTGTGCAGAAACAGCAAGAGATAAGTTCAACCCCAGCCCAAGCTGTTACCACCTCAGCAACGCACTTGCTTAGGCCAAGCCCTCATTTCGCTCATGTGAACTGGATGAATACATTAAAAGATGGTAATAAATGCCATCTGATATGGCAAAAACTGCGGGCTGGGAAGGTGGCTCAGTGGTAGAGCACTTGCCTTGCATGCCAGAGGCCCTGAGTTCGATTCCTCAGCACCACATAAGCAAAAAAAAAAAAGCTGGAAGTGGCGCTGTGGCTCAAGTGGTAGAACGCTAGCCTTGAGCTGAAGAGCTGAGGGACAGCGCCCAGGTCCAGAGTTCAGGCCCCATGACCAGACCCAAAAAAAAAAAACAAAACTGGGTGAGAATCCCTAGTCTGAAATGGTTGGGACCACAGTTGTTTTGGATCCCAAATATCCCAGGATTATTATATTTGCACACTCATGAGACCACTTGGGAAAGAAGCCAATGTTTAAATATGAAATTCATGTTTTGTATACACCTTACAACATACATAGCCTGAAGGCTTTTTTTTTTTATTGTTGTTTTTTGTTGTTTGTTTTCAACACAGGGCCCAGCACTGGCTCAGTTGGTCCTCTACCATGTGAGCCACACTTCCAGTTCAGCTCTTTGCTGGTTATTTTGGAGATGGGAGGGGATCTTTGGTGTCCAGGCTGGCTTGAATCTCAGTCCTCCAGATCTTAGCCTCCTGAGTAGCTGGGATTACAGACAGGCATTGGGTGTCTGTGCCTGTCTTCCTGGAAGAAGTTGTGTGCAAAGCATTTAGGGTCTGACTGTTCTGCCTGTGGTCTGTCAAAAGTGCTCGAGCATGGGCCGCTGTATGTGTGGCATAATATTGGGCTGGGGGACATTCTGGATTAGGGATGCTCAGCTTGCACTTGCCAAAGGCCATTCTCTCTAGATCACTTTCTCCACCTCAAGTGACCCTCTGAATGCCAGGCCCAGGAGCGCAGCCCCTCAATGACAATCAGTCCCTTTGTTGCCAAGGGGTCCCTTGGCCCTCTGGAGTGGCACTGGTCGGTGGCATGTCCTCCACTGTCTGCTTACCTTCCCAAGCCTGTCTCAGCTCTGCCACTGCACTGCAACCTTCTTTCATTCTGCTGCCACCCAGAATGCCCTGCCTGTTCTCCCCAGGGTCTGCACTGCCTGTGTCCCGGTCAAGGGTGCCCCGTGTTCCCTGAAGGCCTTCAGAGTCCCTGAGTTTACTCCAGGACAAGGGGCCTACCTCTCTCCCAGCCTCACAGCCAAGGTGGGTACTGTGTGTTCCCAACACTCACCGGATGCCAGCAGCTCTGCCTGGGGTCCCTTCCCACTGTGCCGGGGAGCGTGCATGTGTGTGCGTGCCTGTGTGCACAGGGAGGGGGGCTCTGGTCCCATAGCTGCTCCCCCCGACCCTGTACCAGGCTTCTCAGGATGCCCACACAGGTCTCCATGTATGGTACTCTAGTATGGGTCTCAGCATTACCCCTGCCATGTTCACCTTGGGGTGAAGGGCAGGGCTGATCATTCTGGAAAGCCAGCTGGGGCCCAGGGGCTATGGCTCATCTCCTTCCCAGGCCTGCTTTGTCTTTCTCTCCCCTTCATCGGCCACTCAGAAAAGCCCTCCCCTGCCTAGCTGCCAGGAGGACTCCTATCACCCCAGCTCACCCCATCCATGGGTGTGCATCAGCCCCGGATCAAAACGATTCACGAAAAACAAACTGAACATGCACAGATTCTTTTCTTGCTGTAGTCCCTAACAATTCTGTATAACAACTAGCACAGGGTCTTTACATCGTAGTAGGTATTAGAAATAACCTAGAAAGTATCTGGGGAAGGTGGGACATGGTGGTATGGTGTATAGCCCCAGCTACTCAGGAGGCCCCAGCAGTTCAAGGCTAGCTTTAGGCACACAGACAACCCCTGCCTACCATGTCATGTACTAGAAGCTCACATAGATTAAATACAAACATACTGTCATTTTATAAAAAAGGGCTTTAAAAAAATGCCAGTTCTAAGGCTTGAACTCAGGGCCTTGGTACTACCCCTTAGCTTTTTCACTAAAGGCTAGCACTCTACCACTTAAGCCACAGCCTTACTTCTGGCTTTTTGCTAGTTAACTGGAGATAAAAGTCTCAGGGACTTTCCTTGGCTGGGCTGCATTTGAACCATGATCCTCAGATCTCAGCCCTCTGAGTAGCTAAGGTGTCAGGTGTGAGCCACCAGCAGGCAACTCTAGAAGGATTTGTATCTGGAGGTGTGTCCTGGAGGACAACTGTGCTGGCTGGCAAGTCTCTCCCATCCCCTCCCTAGAGGTCCAAATATTTTTTTTGGGGTTGGGTCATGGGGCCTGAACTCTGGGCCTGGGCGCTGTCCCTCAGCTCTTCAGCTCAAGGCTAGCGCTCTACCACTTGAGCCATAGCGCCACTTCCAGCTTTTTTCTTTTTTGCTTATGTGGTGCTGAGGAATCGAACCCAGGGCCTCATGCATGCAAGGCAAGCGCTTTACTACTGAGCCACCTTCCCAGCCCCCTAGAGGTCCAAATAACCAAACAGGAAGTCCTCGCTGGACCCATTGGTCAGAGCACCTTTCACTAGCAGGGAGCTGGACATTAGGGACTCTCTAGGGATAAAGAAGCAGGGACAGCGCCAGGTGGGGAACCCAGGTCCCTGGGCCTCTGTCCAGGTAGCCCAGCCTACCTGAAGCAGTCTGAGTGCCAGTCGGAGTTCAAGGCTTGGAGGTACTGGCCGTCATAAATCCTCTGGCCGCAGCTTGCACAGACGGGCAGCTCACTTCCTGTGGGGAGCAGAGTCATGAGTCACTTTTTGGGGGTATTCTGGCATAGACCCCTTGTGGACCCAGTAGACACAAACGCAGTCCCCAGGCCAAGTGGTCTCTGTGTTGAGCTAGAAGAGAAAGGACCAATGTCTTGCTCAGAGACTGGCTGAGTTACTGAGCTGCTCTGGGCCTGCCTCAGTGTCCCCACTGGTAACCTGAGGACAAAGATCATATGTCCACCCTCCTGCATGGCGTTCTTCAACTCAGGGGCTGGTAAGGTAACACGGGGACAAAGAAAGCCAAGAGGGGGGATGGGGAATCTTGTCCTTTCCCCTCTAGTACACCCAGGAAGAAAGGGTAAAGGCTCCTTCAAAGGGCAGGGCCTGGCCAGGGCTGGGGTGTCCTGGGCCCATGGGGCTGCACTAGCTGAACTTGGCAGTGCCTTGGCTTCATGAGGGGCTGGGGTGGCGAGCCACCAGTCAGACACCTCTTGATGCCAACCACGAAGCATGCTTAGTCATCCCTGTGGCCTAGCACCCCTGCAGGTGGTGGGGCCTGCAAGATGCCCCCAGCCTGACCCTCCCTGTTGTGAAGACAGGGACGCTGAGCCCCCACAGAAGGGCCTCTTGCTGTGTCACACAGTCAGATCCTGGGAAGGTCCCAAGGCAGAGGCGGCACCCAGAAGTTGTTCTTGGGCTTGGGGGAGGGTGAGGTAGGAACTGGCACCCCTTCTCTCGCCTGCAACCTGCCTCATCAAGAGGTGTCTTGATACCAGAAATGCTTGTGCTTCTGTAAAGGAGACCCCAGATAGTCCCAGGCGGACTGGGGGATTGTGGGAGGGGAGGTCTGAACCCTAACGGGGGTGGGGGCAGCCCTGCCTGGGTAGGGCAGGAAGGCCAGCCTGCTGGCAGGCAGGGCTTGGGGTCTGGTGCGGGAGAGGAGGAGGGGCGGGGTCCCCGCAGTGAACTGTCACGGATTCCCCGGATGCACCGCCGCCGCACTCTGTCTGTCCAGCCACCAACCAACCACTAGCGCCAGGGGCCAACTCCACGATCGCCAACTGTACAGATGGGGAAACTGAGGCTCAGAGGGTTAATGCCTGGCTCAAGGTCACAGAGCCCTGCAGGTGCGGGGCAGTGACTCAAACCCAGGGAATGCGGCTTCTGCGGACCCCCTTTCTCCCCAGGCAGGGTTCCACACTTGGGTCAGGGGCGGCTCCAGAGGCGAGGCCCGGCAGACGGAGGATGGAGCAGCGGATGGAGGCCGGCGCTGGGCGGACAGTGCCTGGGCTCCTCTGGGACCACGGGCAGCCAGAGGGATGAAGCAAACCCGGGGTGCCAAGGAGAAGGAGGGCCCTGCCCGCGGGAGCGCACCCCCGGGTGAGGAGGGGGCGGCGGAGGGAGGGGAGCGGGCGGGGCAGCCCCGGGAGGCAGGGGCGCGGCCCGCGCGGAGGCCCGGCCGGCAGCTTCCCCTCGCCCAAGGCTCGCCGCCGCGAGGCCTCGCCCCCGGCCCGCGCCCGGCGCCCCGCCCGCGCCCGGCCCGCGCCCCGCGTCCGGCCCGCGCACCTTCCTCTCCCATACGTTCTTCCCTCCAGGTGCAACAAAGTAGCGTCAACCTCATGCACTCGGCGGGAGGCGGGGCCGGCGGGGCCGGGGCTGGGGGCGGCCGGGCCGCGAGCTCGTCCGCCGCCGGCCGCGGGAGGCGGGGCGCGGCGCGCCGCCCGGGCGCTCGGGGCTCTCGGCGAGGCCGCGGCCACCGCCGCCTTCTCCGGGACACCGGCTGGGGTACCGGCTCCGCGCCGCGGCGGCCCGGGGAGCGCGCGGAGGGGCGGGGCGGGGCGGGGCCTGCAAGCTGCGGCAGGGGCGGGGCGAGCGCGGTCCGGCGGCGGGAACGGCCTTGCGCGGCTCCGCCTCCCGCCCCTCGACCGCCGCCCCGCCCTCTGCGGGCCGGCCTGGCAGCCGGCGCCTGCGTACTCGACTCGCCCCGCCTCTAAGCTCGAGACCCCGCCTCCACGACGGGCAGGCCACGCCCTCGACCCTCCAGCCTCGGCCCCTGGCGGCGGGGCCACACCTCTGAGCGGCGTGTCTGAGTGGCTCCGCCCCCCCGTCCCCGCCCCGCCCTTTCCTTTTTTCATTCATCCTCCGCGGCGACTCCCCGTCAGGCGCGGCCGGGCTTGGGTGGGGCGCTTGGCCCGCGCGGCCCGCCGGGCGCGGACGCCCGACGGGGCCTTCCGTTCCCTCTGACCCCCAGAACCCACCGCAGAGCCGGCGCCATCCCGGCGGGGCGTGGGGACGCGGGGCCGGGCGGGGGAGGCTGTCCGCGAGGTCCGTGTCCCGTCCTGGACACCTGGAGCCCGCGCTGCCCAACGCGAGCAAGCTCCGGGACGGGGGCCTGGCCGAGGGGCTGTGGCGGGGTCACGAGGCCCAGAAAGGCGTCACCGAGGCCGTCACCCAGGCGGTCACCGAGGCCGTCACCCAGGCGGTCACCCAGGCGGTCACCCAGGCCGTCATCCAGGCGGTCACCCAGGCGGTCACCCAGGCGGTCACCCAGGCCATCACCGAGGCCGTCACCCAGGCGGTCACCCAGGCCGTCACCCAGGCCGTCACCCAGGCAGTCACCCAGGCGGTCACCCAGGCCATCACCGAGGCCGTCACCGAGGCCGTCACCCAGGCCGTCACCGAGGCTGTCACCCAGGCCGTCACCCAGGCGGTCACCCAGGCCGTCATCCAGGCCGTCACCGAGGCTGTCACCCAGGCCGTCACCCAGGCAGTCACCCAGGCCATCACCGAGGCCGTCACCCAGGCCGTCACCCAGGCCGTCACTGAGGCCGTGACCCAGGCGGTCACCCAGGCCGTCACCCAGGCTGTCACCGAGGCCGTCACCCAGGCGGTCACCCAGGCGGTCACCCAGGCGGTCACCCAGGCGGTCACCGAGGCCGTCACCCAGGCCGTCACCGAGGCCGTCACCCAGGCCGTCACCCAGGCAGTCACCGAGGCCGTCACCCAGGCTGTCACTGAGGCCGTGACCCAGGCAGTCACCCAGGCCGTCACCCAGGCCATCACCCAGGCAGTCACCGAGGCCGTCACCCAGGCTGTCACTGAGGCCGTGACCCAGGCGGTCACCCAGGCCGTCACCCAGGCGGTCACCCAGGCCATCACCCAGACCGTCACCCAGGCCATCACCCAGACCGTCACCCAGGCGGTCACCCAGGCGGTCACCCAGGCGGTCACTGAGGCCGTCACCCAGGCGGTCACCCAGGCGGTCACCGAGGCCGTCACCCAGGCTGTCACTGAGGCCGTGACCCAGGCGGTCACCCAGGCCATCACCCAGGCCATCACCCAGGCAGTCACCGAGGCGGTCACCCAGGCGGTCACCGAGGCCGTCACCCAGGCGGTCACCCAGGCCGTCATCCAGGCGGTCACCCAGGCCGTCATCCAGGCGGTCACCCAGGCAGCCACCGAGGCCGTCACCCAGGCCGTCACCCAGGCGGTCACCGAGGCCGTCACCCAGGCGGTCACCGAGGCCGTCACCCAGGCGGTCACCCAGGCAGTCACCGAGACCGTCACCAAGGCCGTCATCAAGGCGGTCACCCAGGCCGTCACTGAGGCGGCCATCGGCCCGGCCTCACGTTCTGCTCATTTTTTTTTTTTTTTTGCCAGTTCTGGGCCCTGTCCCTGAGCTTTTTTGCTCAAGGCTGGTGCTCTACCACGTGAGCCACAGCTCCACGTCTGGCCTTTTGCTGATTAATTGGAAGTAAGAGTCTCACGGACTTTCCTGCCTCCACCGGCTGTGAACCACCACCCTCAGATCCCAGCCTCCTAAGTAGCTAGGATCACAGATGTGAGCAGCCCATGCCAGGGTAAGGCTGGACAATTCTAGAATGCCAGACCTGGGCAGGGAACAGCCCTCCCCCCCTGACCCCGCAGGTGTACCCCACAACATCGTCTTTCTGCTCAGGATTCTGTCACAACAGGAACTTAAAACTGCTGTTTCTTAAAGTTGCTCACTTCTGGGCTGGGAAGGTGGCTCAGGGGTAGAGAGCGCTTTCCTCGCATGCGTGAGGCCCTTGATTCAATTCCTCAGCCCCACATGAGCAGAAAAAAGCCAGAAGTGGCGCTGTGGCTCAAGTGGTAGGGCATTAGTCTTGAGCTGAAGAGCTGAGGGACAGCGCCCAGGCCCAGAGTTCAGGCCCCACGACCAGACCCCCCCCCCCCAAAAGAAGTTGCTCACCCCTTTCCTGGGTTAGTGAATTAACTAAAAGCAGAATAGTTTGTCTGTGGTGCCTCATTTTATCTCTGCCTCCTTGGCTTTTCCACTTGACCCACATTCCCAGTCCTTTTTACTTTAGTCTTTCAGAAAGGTTCTTGAACTTTTACCCAGCAAACCTGGAACTGCTATCCTCCTATGTTCTCCCCCTGAGGAACACCAATGCCTGGCCCACAGACCCCTGATCAAAGCTCTATGGGCCAGAAGCTGCAGTCCAGTTCTTTTTTTTGGGGGGTGGGGGTCCAGTCGTGGGGCCTGAACTCTGGGCCTGGGCGCTGTCCCTCAGCTCTTCAGCTCAAGGCTAGCGCTCTACCACTTGAGCCACAGTGTCACTTCTGGCTTTTTTCTTTTTGCTTATGTGGTGCTGAGGAATCGAACCCAGGGCCTCATGCATGCAAGGCAAGCACTCTATCACTGAGCCACCTTCCCAGCCCATGCAGTCCAGTTCTTGCCAGGCTGCCAGCCACTGTTCTGCACCCCCACCTCCCAACCTCCTTCCTGGAGCTGCCATCGTAGCCCTGCCAGGAGCCAGGCATCTCTTTGCTCTGCAAAGCTCTGTACCTAGCCGCTTTCTGCCAGGCCCAGCATGGACTGGGTCTGAAACCTGGAGACAATGCTAAGCAGCATCTATCTATCCTTTTAAGTCTGCCACTCACCCACTTGCAATTCCAGACACTGCCACCAGGGGGTGAGTGTTAACCCTGCCTGTCCTTTAGGGACCTGTCCCACAGGTGGCAGTGAGGAGGGACAAGGCCAGACAGCCTGGGGGGATCCAGACCTGTCCACTCACCACGTGTGGAAGGATAGGATGAGGAGGGCAGGGAGGAAGATGGCCAGCAGGTCCAACAGGATGGCAATGATGATCGGGGTGCCCTGGCTCTACAGGCAATCGGGGCTGCACCCGGCCCCATCCAGCCTCAGCCTTAGGGCCAGCGCCCCTGTGTGGTGATGGTGGGAACTACTGGTCTGACTGAGAAGAGTGCAGTGCCAGAACCTCTCTGCCCCAGAGAATGCAGGTGACAATAGGAATGTCACAGCCCCCACCCAGCAAGTTGCATCTGGACATGTGGTCATACCAGGTGCCAAGTAGGGCAGAACCCCAAGACCCACAAGGGCTCTACCTGAAACAGTCCAGCATACAGTTGGCACTACCTAAATGACATGCTGGATGACAAGGGCTTGCACATAGTGGCCGAGTAGACAGCCGGTGCATGTCATGGCCACCTGTCAGCCCCTGTGGGGAGCCCTGGATCATAGCCAGCTTAGACAGACAGACAGACAGAACCACAGGTGAGAAAAGACAGGCCTTCCCTGCTGACCAGGAGCCACCTAGCCACAGCCTGCAGCCCTGACCCACACACCTGCTTCTCCCTGGGAAGTCCAGAAACAAAGCTGATGTTGCAGCTGGTGGCTCACACCTAGCTACTCAGGAGGCTGAGGTCTGAGGATCCCAGTTCCGAGCCAGTGCGAGCAGAAAAGTCCTTGAGATTCTTATCTCCAATTAACCAGCAAGAAACCGGAAGTGGATCTGTGACTCAAATGGTAGAGTGCCAGCCTTGAGCCAAAAAAAAAAAAAAAAAGCTCAAGGACAGCACCAAGACCCTAAGTTCAAGCCCCAGGACTGGCACACTCACACAAAAGCAGATGTGATCGTTCTGTAGCAGTCCCTTGGGGTAAAGGGTTGGTGTTGGTTCTTTTGAAGTGTTTGGCAGAATTCTCTAGCAAAGCCATCTGGTCCTGAGCTTTGCTTTGTTGGGATTTTTATTACAGATTCAATCTGTTCACGTTCTTTATTACTCTGTGATTCAGTATTGGTAGATTGTATGTTGGTAGAAATTGATTTATTTTCTCTTGATTCTTCCCGATTTGTTGGCATACATTTCTCTGCAGCCCAAGCTGCCACCTCTCACTGGGCCCAAGGACTGTGGCCAGGTGGGCGACCCCCTTTCCACTGTACCCTGGAAGCCAGCGGGCACGTGGCCTTGGCAGACTCCTCCATAAATGCAGAAACCCAGAACACAAAGAAACCTGAGGCCATTTCCTTGGAAAGGTTTTCATTTATTAGTTTGTTCAGAAGCAGTTAATTCTCTTTTCTTATTAAAAAAAAAAATGTGTATTCCATTCAGAGTTATACCAAAGTGATTAAAATGAGCTTTTCTACAGAGGATACAGCTCCCCCAGATTAGAAAAAAAAACAAAACAAAACAACACAACTTTTTCTTCTTCAACTAACCACAACAATAAAACCTCAAGAGCACATCAACAATCAAACATTAATCCCCAAATATCCAGGACAAAAAATAAAATATTTATTGATCACAGCGAGACACCAGGAAGTGGGAGGGCCGGGAGGGGACACGCCTTGTAGCACAGTGCCTGGAGAAGGATTGGGGATACAGTACTTGTGTGTGAAACCCCCCCTGTCCGCACTCCCCCCATGACCTGGGCCAGCATAGGGGTGCGGAGTGGGGTGGGGGCAGGGCACAGGCTGCGCTGACAGGAAGCCAGGTGGATGGCAGGTCTGCCCGGCCAGTCAGCGGCACTGAGCCGTCCGTCAACTGGGGGGAAGAAAGGATGGACGGACAGATGGGTGGATGGATTCCCCTAGATCGAGGGTGGGGAGCCAGGTATTGGTAAGGAGAGAGGGGTCTAGTGGACCCCAAGGCACAGGGGGATGGTGTGACCGAATCCAGCGTTGAGGTTTTGGAACTGGGGTACCAACTGGACACAGCCAGGGGTAGCACCTGGTGGGCAGGCCCCATCATCTTCAGAGGGACCCCAGGCGGTGGGGGGGACCCCAGGGTGTCCCTACCCTTCTCCCTCCCCCGGGAAGGTAAAGCACCAGCCATGAAGCACCAGCAGGTAGCACCGATGGAGGCTGTGGGTGGGGCACTCCGGGCCCGCGGGGGCTCCTGCCGTCCCCTCCCGGGGTGGGGGCTGGGGTGAGGGGGGGTCACAGAGGGTTTACATTCTCCACCAAGCAGTAGCACCAACGTTGATGAGGTCGAGAAGTCGGGGTCCTGGGGGCTCACTTCCTCTTCCGGCCACAGGATTTCCCCAGGCAGGCCCCACCTAGATTGGGGAACCGAGGTCAAGGTCAAGTTTGGCCCCTCTGGGTTACTCCCCCCACTCCTCCCACTCCCCCCAGGCTCTGTCTACTGCCATCGGAGGCGCTGGCTTGGGCCTAGGGGTAGGGGAACCCGGGTCTGATTAGCAATCTTGTTTTGGGGCTCAGCCTGGAAGGAGAGCCTGCGCTAGACATGGCTCCTTACTGCCACCTGCTGGCAAGAAGGTGATAAGTCGGGTTGGAGAGGTTTTGTGTGTGTGTGTGTGTGTGTGTGTGTGTGTGTGTGTGTGTGTGTGTGTGTCTGTGTGTGTGTGTGTGTGTGTGTGTGTGCTTCCCAGCCCCAGGAACCATGGAGGTAGAGCTGCGGCTTCTTTGGAGGGTACGGCAGGACCTTGAGAGGGGTGATCGGCATCTATTCCCCGTCCCGCCCAGACACTAGGTTGCATCTTTTTCATGTGCGCCAGTCCTGAGGCTTGAACTCAGGCCCTGGGTGCTGTCTTAACTCTTTCACTCAAGGTTGGTGCTGTACCACTTGAGCCACAACTCCACGTCTGGCTTTTTGGTGGTTCATTGGAGATAGAGTCTCACGGACTTTCCTGCCAGGGCTGGCTTTGAACCATGATCCTCAGGTCTCTGCCTCTCTAGGAGCTGGAATTATAGGTGTGAGCCACAGCATCCTGCTTAGGTTGTTGCATCTTTAAGCCAGGTGTGGCCTCTGTCTTCCTGGGATCTGGGGTTCTGCGTGTCTTGTGCATTCCCCTTCCTGTCCCTCTGAGATCTATCCATCTGCTCAGGCTCCTCCCTGCTGGTAGTGTGGACAGCAGCTCAGGGATGTGGGCTGGGATGTCTAGGCCTGGGCCAGGGCCAGCCTGGGGCAGCTCTGGGTATAGGAGGATGGAGTAGGAAGGAGGTCTCCAGGCTCCAAACCTCCTGACTGTCCAAGTGCACCCTGGAGTGGCTTGTCCCTGACTCTCGGGCCCTCCCTGTCCCCTGCTTCTTCCTGGCCCTGAGTGCTCGCTCACCTTGGTAGCCCAGGGCTCCAAGGGCTCCTCCGTAGGGTTTCGGGGGTTTTCCTGTGAGGCAGGGGTGGGGTGGGGAGTGGGCAAGCTTGTCTCCCCCTCCCTGCACCCGGCCTGCTCTGTCTCTGCAGGTTTCCTGTACCTCCCTGTCCACCAGCCACCCATCCTTGCCCTCCTTCCCCCCTTCTGTCCCCCCCCCCCCGCAGTCCTTCCATCTAAACCAACCTTCTCCTGGAGATCCAACCCCACTCCTCCCAGGCCGCCCCTGACCCCTTGGAGGGCTCTGGGCCTTTTCTTTCCCCTCCCCTCACAAAAGCACTTCCTGTCTCAGGGACCTGACCCATGTCCTAGCGGACTCCAGGGCCAGGCTGAGCACAGGTCCCTGTCTAGTTCTGTGACTTGAGTCCCCACATACTGGGGCTGAAGGCTCAGCTTCTGCGGCTCCCCTGGGGGCTCCCTCACCACCCCGTACTAGAGGTTGTGGCCACTGCTACATGGTGCCCAGGATCCCAGGGTCCTGGGCCCCTGGGATGGGAAGGCTTTTAGGGGAAACTTACCACCGAATCCGACTCCCCCAGCACCACCACCTGCAGGACACAGATGTGGCTGTGAGTGGCCTCAAAACTGGGGACCCCAAGTTCCCCCTGAGGCGCAGCCCAGTGGAACCCAGGCTTGACTCCCGGGGTGACCTCAGGTTGCAGGGTTTGAGGCCTTGGGTTCACCCCCTGGGCAGAGTGGGGAGCAGAGCACCCAGGTTACCTGGGTAGATGGGGGACAGTCCGAAGCCAGGTCTCGCTGCCACTCCTGAAGGAGAGATCTGGGTTGGTGGCAGGCCAGTGCCTTTTCCTCACTGCCACCCAGGACTTTATGTCTGGGGCCACCTGCTTCCCATGTCCCCCTCAGCTCAAGGCTGGTGCTGATCCACAGCTCCCCTTCCAGCTTTTTGCTGGCTCAATAAAGTCTCACAGACTTTCTTGCCCAGGCTGGCTTTGAACTGTGATCCTCAGATTTCAGCCTCTTGAGTAGTTGGTATTACAAGCGTGAGCCACCAGGGGATGGGCCACAAACGCTCTCCTGACTATATTTGTCCGGGTGGTGTGGTGGCCCATGGCCATGATCTGAGCAGTTACTGTCCCCAACCCTGACATGTCCTGTCCTGAGGGCCCTGTCCACCCCTGCCCCAGCTTTGGCTCCTCAAGTGGACTTAGGGTCCAGGAGCCCTCTGATAGCCAGACAGGCGCCCACGCCTGGGCAGAGCTGGGTCTTCATCGGAGCTCCTACCTCCGCCTGGGAATGGCCTGCCGGCTCCAAGGCCGGCTCCGAGGCCGGCAGCACCTGGGAACAGGACAGACAGGGTCAGATGGAGACAGGGGTCCTGGGAGGGGGTGGGTGGGTGGGGGATTGAGGGATGAGCTTCCAGCCTCCTAGAGATTCAGGGGGCACTCACCGTATTTAGCTGCCTTAGCAGCGGCTGCTGGAGACACACCTGGAGAGGAGGACAAGTGGAGGTTGGAGGGCGAGGAGAATATGAGGATCTCTCTCTCTCTCTCTCTCTCTCTCATCCTGTGTAACTAGGGATTTGAACTGAGAGTCTCACACTTGCTAAGCAAGGCTCTCCACCACTTGAGCCATGCCGCAGTCTCTTGTACTTTGGTTATTTTTCACATAGAGTCTTGGGATGTTTTTGGGTTTTTGCTAAGGGCTAGCTTAGACTGTGACCCTCTGGGCTCTGTTTCTCCTGCTCTCCTGAGTGCTGGGATTACAGGTGTGCACCACCATGCCTGTCTCTGTAAATGCTGCAGGATCCCAGAGGAGAACGCAGGGCCCACAGGACCCTGGAGGCCACATGCGCGGGGGTGGGGGGTTGTGTTGGGCAGGGCAGGGCAGGAGGGATAGCCTGAGGACAGGGGGCCCAAACTTCCAAGGATAAATGTCCCTAAAGGGACCACATGTGTCTTATGCAAGCATAAGACACTGGCTGTGCTGGGTGGGGTGGGGCAGAAGCTCCACCTGCACTTGTCTGTCTGTCTGTCTATCACACACGACTCATGATCGCACAGCAGTTCTCACCTCCAAGGCCGCCAGCACCTGGGATGGCTCCAGCCCCAAGGCCCCCAGCTCCAAGGCCCCCGACTCCCAGACCCCCGACTCCGAGCCCCCCGGCTCCCAGGCCTGCAGAGAGAAGCATGTGTTAGTCTGGTAACAGGGTGGGCCCCTGGCTGTCACAGGAGCCCTAAGTGGGGATTGAGCTCCTAGCACAGAGAGGCAGGGTGGGGATCAGGCCTCAGTCTCCCCCAAACCAAGCTGTGCTTACCATACTGGGCTGCTTTGGCGGCGGCTTTGGCAGCAGCAGCCTGGGCAGCGGGTCCAGCTCCTGGAGACACAGAGGGGCTCAGCAGGGTTGCCAGGGGCTTGTTCCCCCAACCCAGTGCATCCGGGGTGTAACTCACCCACTACACCGCCTGGAACACCGGCTCCAGCCAGACCTCCGGCTCCAGCTGCACCTGTAGAGAGGCCAAGAATCAGCCCTCCCCTCCCCTTCCTTTCCCTCCCTGCTTTCCCTTCCCCTCCCCTCCTACCCTCTTCCCAGCCCGCCAGGGGTTTGGATGGGATTTTGGATGGCTCCAACTCTAGGGAGCCACGTGTTTCAGCCCGATGGCTATGCATTGCAAAAAAATGGGGGCCGTGAGGTGGAGGTGGAGGCTGAGGACGGGGCTGGAGGCTGGAGGCCCACTGGGAAGGGAATGGTCAGCTCTGAGGAGCTATGGGGCCCCATGGTTACTCTGGTGCCGGCTGCAGGTGCCCAAGCAGCCAGTAAGGAACCCACAAGGAAGCCTTGGCGGTCTGGGGTCCTGGGGCCCTGTGGAAGACGGGCTCCTTCCAGGTGGAAGCTAGTTGGCCCTGAGTGGACAGACTGGGGCCAGTTGGTCCCTCCCTGACAGAGGCCCCTGGCCTGGCTCCCAGGAAGCCAGGAGTGGGGAGCTCCTGGGTCTGGCAAGCTGAGGCTGCCATAGCGCCAGGTGGCACAGCAGGCCAGGCTGCCACGTCCTCCAGCTGCCCCGTGGCAGACGCGTGCAGTCTCAATGACGGGAGGGGAGGCAGGCACTGGGGACTTGGATGAGGAATATTGACAGCTCAGCTCAGCCAATGGGCTGGGAGGAAGCAGAGGCCTCCATTTGCCTGGAGCCAATGGCAGTCTTGGCTCCTGTGGAAACTCTGGTCAGACGGGCCAAGGAACTGCCCCAGGCTGGGGGCTTGGGAATGCCACTGTGGGAGGCACAAAGGGGACTAATGCATAGGTACCCTGCATAAAGAGGTCCTAAAAATTGCTGTTTCTCCCTCCCTCCCTCTCTCTCTCTCCCTCTCCTTTCTCCCCTCTGTCTGGCTGTCTGTCTGTCTGTCTCTCCCTCTGTCTCTCTCTTACACAGTACTAGGGTTAGAAACCAGGTTCTCACATTTGCTAGGCAGGAACTTATTGCTTGAGCCATATTATCACTAGAATTGTGTGTGTGTGTGTGTGTGTGTGTGTGTGTGTGAGAGAGAGAGAGAGAGAGAGAGAGAGAGAGAGAGAGAGAGAGTATTGAGGTTTGAACTCAGGGCCTTGTGCTCTTGCTTGGCTTTTTCCAACTCAAGGGTAGTGCTCTACCAGTTGAGCCACAGCTCTACTTCCAGCTTTTTTTTTGTTGGTCATGGGGTGAACTCTGGGCCTGGGCAATATCCCTCCAGTCTTTAGCTCAAGGCAAGCGTTCTACCACTTGAGCCATAGTGCCACTTCCGGTTTTCTGGTGGCTAATTGGAGATGAGTCTCACAGACTTTCCTGCCCAAGCTGGCTTTGAATCGTAATCCTCAGATCTCAGCCTCCTGAGTAGCTAGGATTACAGGCAGGAGCTACCGGCGCTTGGGTTACTTCCAGCTTTTTGCTGGTCCATTGGAGATAAGAATCTCTCAGATTTGTCTGCCCAGACCCGATTTGAGCCACAGTTCTTAGCTCTCAGCCTGCTGAGTAGTTAGGATGACAGGCGTGAGCCACTGGCAGCGCCCAGCATGAAATTTGATTTTTGAGATCTTGCTTTCACTAGACTGACATCAAAGTCATGAGCTTTCTGTCTCTACCATCTGAGAAGCTGGGTTTATGGGTATGGCTTTTAATCTGTTCTGCCCCTCTGTTCCCTGTGGTCAGGGTTGGTGGAGGACCCTCGTGGCAGAGGGTTGCACTCACCGTATTTGGCTGCTTTAGCTGCTGCCAGAGATCCAGGTGCTGGGGAAAAGGGAAGGAGGGGTCAGCTCTATGCTTGGGGTTCTGCTGCCTTTTCCAGGGAGCCCGCCCTGACTTTCTCCATCTGCATTGCTGCCTTACAGTATGGAACAGGGCTCCAGTATCTAACTATACCACCACCAATTTTCTCTGGGGGTGCCAGAGGCCTGCACTGTGTGCCCATCCATCCATCCATCCATCCATCCATCAATCTATCCATCCCTCCATCCCTCCCTCCATCCTTCCTTCCATTCTTCCTTGTTTCCATCCATCCATCTATCCATCCTTTCTTCTTCCCATCCTTCCATCCATCTATCCACCCACCCACCCACCCATCCATCCTGTCCCCTCTGGGCCCAGCATGGCCTGCCTGAAGCTGGGGAGAGTAGGGCTCAGTGACAACCCGATGAGTCCCTAGGGTCCCTTTGCCATGGAGCATGCTGAAGGAGATCTGGGCTGGCCTATCAAAGCCCCTCAAATCCAGGGACTGCCACTCGCGTTTGTGGGCTGGTAGGGAGGCTTTTCCCAGTCTGGAGCCTTGTCACCCTTGCTCTGCAATCTGGCAGCCTGGCCTTGTCTGGCCCTTCCCCCTCAGGCTGTGTGGCCTGCTGCAGATGGGGACACTCAACAAGGGATGTGCTACGCATCTGTGGGTGGTGAGGGGTCCTGGGGCAGGCACTGGGAAGAGGGGGTTCTCCATCCTCTGAACTGGGCAGGGGGAGACTTCTTCCCAGCCCCTAGAACTTTCCTTACCTGCTCCTGCCCCAAACCCAGGAACACCAGCGCCAGCTCCCAATCCAGGCACCCCGGCACCAGCTCCTAATCCGGGTACCCCAGCGCCAAGTCCTGCGGCAGCAGCCCCTACAGAGGCAGACAGTGGGATGTGACATGGGTGGGTGGGGCACCTGCCCAGGGGCTAGCCTGTGAGCTGGCCCAGGCCCTCAGAGAAGAGGGCTGGCTTTGCCTCCCCCCCCCCCCCCCCGCAGATGCCCCTGCACCCACACTCCAAGCTGTGTAAAAACCATCTTTCGTTTTGGTGGTACTGGGGTTTGAACTCAGAGCCCGGGTGCAATCCTTTAGCTTTTTCACACTTGAACCATAGCTTCACTTCTATGTGTGTGTGTGTGTGTGTGTGTGTGTGTGTGTGTGTGTGTGTGTATGCGTACGCGTGCACAAGAATGTTCCTGTGCCAGTCCTGGGGCTTGAACTTAGGTCTGAGTGTTGTCCAAGCTATTTTGCTCAAGGCTGGTGTTCTACCATTTGAGCCACACTTCCACTTCTTTTTCAGCACTTATCTGGAGATAAGAGTCTCACAGACTTTCCTGCCCAGACTGGCTTCAAAACAAGATGCTCAGATGTCAGTTTCCTGAGTAGCTAGGATTACAGGTGTGAGCCACCAGAGCCTGGCTTATTGTTTTAGATAGGGTTCTGTATTCATGCCCAGGCTGGTATGGAGAGTGGTCTTTCTACCTCTGCCTTCTGAGTAGCAGGGATTATAGGCATGTGCCAACACAGCCGGCATTAGAATGGTTCTCCTCAGACCTGCGATTGGCCCCCAAGACCACTCTAGGTGGACTTGGGGCTGCCTACGCGGCCGGCCACTCCCTTTCCTGCCTCACTTCCTGTTCTTTGGCCACGCCTGAGCCTGGTTAATTCTCCCAACAACTTTGTTCACGGTGCGGGTGATGCCCTTGCTGCACTTGGCACAGTCCTATGTGGAGGCCTGGACATCACTCGGCCAATTGGGAGCCAAGCCTTGAACACACTGAATCTGTGCATCTGAGCCCTCTGCCAGTTGCTGTGGGGGACCTGAGGATTTGGGGGGGCAAGGGTCTGAGAGCCTGTGTTTCTGGGGGCCCAGCTTGGGGGCAGCAGTAGGTCAGCATGGTTCGGTGGCCAGGACTGAGATGTATTCGGCACTCACGGTACTGGGCTTTGGCAGCTAGCTGCGCAGCAGATTTCCCTCCGGCCAAGGCTCCTGCTCCTGGAAGGGGGGAAAGGGGGTCAGGAGTGGGATGGTGCCCATGGAGGCTCTAGGGGACCCCTCCAGAGCCCCCCTCTCAGACTGCTCACCTGCAATACCCCCAGGGCCCACACCAGCACCAGGAAGAACCCCAGCATCCACAGAGACACGTGGTCCCAAACCTACAAGAGCAGCAATAACTGGGCCCTAGGTGTGGCGCCAGGCTCCCAGCCTAGCCCTGGCCTGCCGTGGTGCGATCCTGCACCAGGTGTGTAAAGTCAGGAATTCCCGAGGGATGAGGGCCCCCCTCCCCGGAGACTTGAGCATGAGAGGGACAGAGGGAGGTAGCAAGGTGGGCCGATGTGGGTTTTGAATCTCAGCTCGGCCATGATTGAGCTGCCACTGTAGTAGCTGGGATTACAAGTGTGTGCCACCATGTCTGGCCAGGACAGGGAAGCTGATGTTAGGTGTTCCCTGGCTTTCATCAGTCCTAGAGATTCTGATCAGAATCTTGCTCCCTGTGGGACCAGAAGGCCAAGATTCATAGGTACCCCTCCATCTACAGCGGGCCTCCAAATTGGGGCGTTCCATGCTCAAGAAGTGTCTCTCTGGGCCTGCGGGGCATCCCTCACATGGAGCAAGAAACAGAAGCATTGTTGGGGATCCAAACAGAGAAGGTGGGCAGAAAGTCCTCAAGAAGACCAGGAAGGGGGGGCCCAAGCCAGCCTGGGGGCCTAGGGGTTTTAGGATGGGGCTGGGGGCCGGGACTGAAGTGCCTTCCAGCTGCTTCTCTAGTCAGAAACATGGTCTGGTCTCAGATGGGCTGGGAGCTCAGAGGAAGGGGCCACGTACCGAACTGGGCAGCTTTGGCAGCAGCTTTGGCAGCAGCGGCAGCAGCTGGGGTCCCGACTCCTAGGTGGGGGAGGGGAAGGCCGAGGGTCCCCATCTTGCCCACTCCTCCCACAATCCTTTGCGAAGCAGCCTCTCTGGGCCCTGTGGGGGTCTGATTTCCCATCCCCCCTCCTGCTGCTTGTCTCCCCTGGGAGCCCGAGGGTGACAGGCAGGTACATGGTGATGGTCTCTCAGGCTTAGGCCTAAGAGGTGTCCCTGGATGTCATGGTCACCTGACTTCTACCCCTTGACCTCTGGTGAGGTCCTGAGGTGCCCCAGGAGGCCAGGCCACCACTGTGCAAGGCTGTGGGGGTGCGGCTGGCAGAAATTGCTGGTCCCCAGGGGTGACAGGGTGGCTGGGGGTCAGTGCTGGCCAGGGTGACTGCTCTAGAGGGGACTGAACTCCCTTGGTTTATCCCTTGACTCAGTTTCCCCATCTGTGAAGCACTGCAGTCAGTCTCCAGGGCCATGTCGGGGGACAGACCAGTCCTATCTCCTGGCTGGGACCCCACTGCTTACCTGGTACCCCTCCTACGCCTGGCACTCCAGGGATCACGCCTGGTACTGCACCCGGCACCGCGCCCGGCACCGCGCCTGGCACCAGCCCTCCCAGTGCTCCAGCTCCCCCGGGACCTGGAGGAGAGACATACATCGAGTGGCCACCCCTTGGGGGTATAATAATGGGAGGTACAGCGGGGCTGGCTGGCACCTTCAGTTTGCTATTTGGGGGTGGTAAATTGCCCTGGAAAGGAGCAGAAGGGTTGAGGTGGCTTAGGTCACAAAAGGGCTGGACCGGATTGTCCTGGCACTTGGTGAGGGTGCTCAGGGCATGGGGATGGGCAGGGCATTGGGACGGGTGGAGCCGGGGGGGGGGCACGTGGGGCTAGGGACGCACAAGGTGGGTACTCACCATACTTAGCAGCTTTGGCGGCGGCTGCTGCCTGAGCTGCAGCTGCAAGCAAGAAAGAAGGCAAGAGCCTATGGGATCCTGGCCCCAGTGGGTGTGGGAGTCCAGCTGTCCCACCCCCAGCAGCCCCAGGCACTTCCCTGGTCTCTCTCCAACTTCCCTGGGCACCCTAAAGCCTGGTCTGTACTCCTCACATCCTGAGGGCTGAGGGCTGTGGCCTATGCCTGTCATTCTAGCCACTTAGGAGCCACAGACAGGAGGATCCTGGCCTGAGGGCAACCCAGGGAATCAGGGAAGCACAGACTGGCTGGGAGTAATATGGCTCAAGCAGTAGAGCATCTGTTCCGGCAAGTGCAAGACCCTGAGTTCAAATCCCAGTACAACTCCTATCCCTCCACTGGTTTCCAAGGTCAAATTGAGGCTCACGAGAAATGCCAGCTCCAGGGACTCCTCCCACGCCAGGAACTCCTCCGACTCCGGGAACGCCTCCGACACCAGGAACACCTCCTATGCCAGGTCCAACACCATAGCCAGGAAAGCCTCCAGTGCCAAGCCCATAAGAAGGAATGCCTCCAACTCCAACTCCAGCTCGAGCTCCTACAGAAGCGTCAAAACCCAGAGGGCAAAACCAGTGAATGGAGAACCAGTTGAACCAGTGGAAGAACCCTGTGTGGTGAGTCTGTGGGGACCCTTCTCCACAGTTGGGCCTGGACCCCACAAAGAAGGCTCTGGTCCAACAGAAGGGTCACACTGGGGTCGTGAAGTAACACTCCTGGGGTCCCACCAGGGCCCAGGGCCTGGCCCTTACTGTGTGATGCTAGGAAAGTCATGCCACTTCTCTGAGAGAGTGGATTATGTTCTCAGACCTGGATAAGCAGACTCCAGGCCTGAGAGGGGACAGCACTCACCATATTTGGCTGCTTTGGCGGCTGCTTTGGCAGCGGCAGCTGGTGACACAGCTCCTGGAAAGACCAGGGGACACACATAGCCAGGAGGCAGAGGGGAGGGGCCCAGCCCATGTCCATCTGTCCGCCTGCCTCTTGGTCCCTCTGCTTTATATCTCCGGAGCCAATATAGAGCTTTTCAATCCATTCATCCATTGTCCCATCTCTCTGTTCACGTCTGTCTGTCCTTAGACCTCAGTCTGTCCATCCACCTATAGCTCATGCACCTGTGTGCCTATCTATCCATTCACCAATCCAGTCACCGGTTCACATTCTCCAGCCCTCACTGTCCATCTGCTCATCTCCCATCTAGCCACCATCCATCCATCCTCCTACCGTACTGTGTGGCCTCTACCTGCCTGTCCATCTGTCTGTCCCTGTATCCATGCCATCTTGAATTTCCTCCTCCTGTCCTCACTCCTTCCTGCATCGATTTGCCTGCTCGCCACATGTCCACCTGCTCACCTGCCCATCCACCACCCGCCTCCACCCGCCATTGATTGAGCGCATACTCAGTTGGGAGCTCAGAGATGAGAAAGACAAGATTGCTGGGGGGTGTTAGAGACTCTCTGCAGGTCACCACATAGGTTTATGTAGCATGAGGGAGGGAGGTACACACACACACACACACAAACACACACACACACGAAGAGCCAGCTTACCTGGTACACCTGCAATACCTGGGACCCCAACACCTGGGACCCCAACACCTGGGACTCCAACGCCTGGGACTCCAACACCTGGGACCCCAACACCAGGAATCCCAACGCCTGGGACCCTAACTCCTGGTCCGCCAGGCACCAAGCCTCCAGCAGCTCCTGTGGAAGGAAAAGGATTGTCCTTGTCCTGGGCCGTGGGGACCTTGAGGGGCCTCTGGGGGTGGTGTGTGTGTGTGTAATGGGGGAGGGGTTCTGGGGTGACAGCAGGTAGGCTAACAGCTCTCCTGAAGGAGCCTAGCTCATCTGAGTGGCACACGCATGTGTACACATGATAACATGTCCTGGTCCTGGGGCTCGCCCTTAGGGCCTGAGTACTGTCTCTGAACTTTTTCACTCAAATCTGGCGCTCCACCACTTGACACTTGCAGCTTTTTGGTGGTTCACTGGAGATAAGTCTCTTCAGGGCTGGGAAGGTGGCTCAGTGGTAGAGTGCTTGCTTTTCATGCAGGAGGCCCTGGGTTTGATTCCTCAGCATCACATAAGCAGAAAAAGCCGGAAGTGGTGCTGTGGCTCAAGTGGTAGAGTGCTAGCCTTGAGCTGAAGAGCTGAGGGACAGCGCCCAGGCCCAGAGTTCAGGCCCCACGAACGGAAAAAAAAGGCTCCTCAACTTTCCTGCTAGGGCTGGCTTTGAACCCCATCTTTACATCTCAGCCTTCTGAGTAGGTGATCAGTTTCTGAAGGAAATCTCAATTCTGGCAGCTGACCAGGAGCAGGGTCACAGGGGCGGGGCCAGGTCGAAGGGGGAGTGGCCAGGCCGCAGTGGCAGGGGGCGTGGCAAGGTCGCATGGGCGTGGCAAGGTCGCAGGGGCGTGGCCAGCCCGCGGAGGGCGGGGCCGGGGGTCCAGGCGTGGGAGGTGGTGGGGGGGGCGTGGACGGAGGCGGGTGTGGGGACGGGGAGAGGGTCTGTACTGGGGGCGCGGCCTCCCCGGGTCACTCACCGTACTTGGCCGCCTTGGCCGCCGCCTTGGCCGCCGCCGCCGCCGCGGGCGTCCCCGCCCCTGGAGAGACGAGCACTGAGGGTGAGGGGCTGCGTGCCCCGCCCGCGGCCGCCCCGGCGCTCCGCCCTCACCTGCCGCCCGCGCTACCTGCCAGGCCTCCGATCCCGGGGATGGCGCCAGCCCCGCCGGGGAGGCCGCCGGGGAGGCCGCCCGCTCCAACGCCGGGGAAGCCCGGGAGGGCGCCCGCTCCGCCCGCGCCTGCTGGGAGAGGGCGGACAGGGTGAGCCCGCTTCCTCCCAGGGCCCCTGGAGGCCGGCAGGGGGATGGAAGAAGAAGGGGGAAGGATAGAGGGACGAAGGATGGATGGATGGGAGGGAGGATGAAAGGAAGGGCGGGACAGAGGGAGGAAAGAAGGAAGGATGGATGGAAGGAAGGAGGAATGGATGGATGGAAGAATGGAAGGAAAAAAGGCAGGGAGTGAGGAAGGAAGGAAGAGAGGGAGGGAGGAAGGAAGGAAAAAAGGAAGAGAGTGAGGAAGGCAGAGAGGAAGGAAGGATGGAAAGAAGGGAGGAAGGATGGGGTGGGGGGGGAGAGGGGTGCCCCAGATGCTGTGGTTTAGCTAGCCCTGGGGGGAGGAGGCCCTGGCCTGTCCACTTGAGTCTGCCTGGGTAGCCCCCACCCTGAAGTTCCTTGATGGTTCCCAAGTTTTAAATGCTCATTAAGGGAGCTGTGTTCTCAGACAGCTCCCCACCCCCTCCACTGCCACATACTGAGAAAGTACTGCGGCTGCTCTCTAGGCCAGCAGGGGGCCCCTAAGGAATGTTCCAGGTTTCCTTTCCCCATGTTCCAAGGACTTTGCCAAGTTTGTAATCCAAGTGTCTGGTCTCCAGGTTCTGGCACCCCTGGCTGCCAGCTCTCCAGCTCGCACATGGCAGCCATCGTGAGAGACGCTGGGCATGGAGGGATGGTGAGGGACTGGGGGGTCCATAGGCTTTTCTAGGGGGTGCACAGGTCCCCCACTCTGCCCACTGCTTGGGTATAGGGTGAGGATATGGGGCACCATTGGGCTTGGGGAACAAGTTACATTTCTATAGTGTATGGTAAATTGATGTGTGAATATATGTAAAAAAAATGGTCTAGGTGCCACTTACAATTATCCCCCCCTTTTTTTTTCAGTCGTGGGGCTTGAACTCTGGGCCTGCGCGCTGTCACTAAGCTCTTCAGCTCAAGGCGAGCGCTCTACCACTTGAGCCACAGCGACAGCTCCAGTTTTCTGGTGGTTTATTGGAGATAAGAGTCTATGGACTTTCCTGCCCGGGCTGGCTCTGAACCACGATCCTCAGATCTCAGCCTCCTGCGTAGCTAGGATGACAGGTGTGAGCACTGGTCCGGCTTTTAACCACCTGGCACCACCAGCTACTCTGCTCCTTCCCTTTTTAAAGCATGTGACACACTCAGCTCTATTGGAAAGCCTGGACCCAATGTTCATTTCTCTGGGAGTTTCATTGTCCCCAGGCAGAAATACTGTCTTTTATTGTCTAGCTGACTGACCTGTCCCTGTCTTTGAGGTGGATGGGCAGAGGAAAGGAGGGAGGGATGAGGTAAGGATGGAGAGAGGAGGGATTGGAGGAGGAGGAAAAGGGGGGATGAGGGATGGATGGACAGATGGGGAAGAGACAGAGGGAGCAATGGAGGAGGGAGGAAGGATGGCAGAGGGATGGAAGGATGATGGATGGATGGAAGGAAAGATGATGGCTGGCTGGATGGCTGGATGGAAGGAAGAATGATGGATGGATGGGATGACAGATGGATGATGGGCGGATGGGTGGATGGATTGATGATGGATGGATGATGGAAGGATGATGAATGGATGATAGAAGGATGGATGATGGGATGGATGGGGGGATGGGGAGGGAAGGAAGAGTTGAGGGAAGGATGGGTGATGATAGCTGGGCAGGGAGGCAGCCTCAACAAGATGCGGGAGGGGGCGGCGGGGGCTGCTGGAGGCTGGCAGAGGCTTAGGTACTCACCATACTTGGCTGCTTTAGCTGCGGCAGCTGCCTGGGAACCAACCCCTGAGGAGGGAAGGGGGAAGGAGGTGAGCCCACCTGTTTCCAGCCCCAGGCCTGCCCACCCCTTGACAGCTGGGCACAGCTGGGGGCTTCTAGGCAGGCAGAGGCCTCAAAGCTGCCCCACCTGCACTGGCTTCCACAGTGGGACGGTGAGGTCCCAGCTCTGGGGTGACCAGCACCTGTTTGGCTGGAAGCGGGGGTACCCCTTCCTTACCTGTCCCCGTTGGGTAGCCAGCCTTGCCCCCTGCTCCACCAGCACCTGTGGACAGGAGAGGCTTGGGGGTCACCAGTGGCACTGGGCCTCCCTGCCCCAACCCACCCACAGGTCCCTGAGTGCTCCTGACCCTCTGGGTCGGAGGGTGGAAAAGCAGCCCAAGGCTGAGGCTCCCTTTCCAGGTCCCTGGAGCTGGGAGGAGCTGGGAGGAGCTGGGAGGAACTGGGAGCCCAGGTCTGGGAGGCTCTCACTCACCGTACAGCTTCCCATTTGTGTAGGGCAGTCCATATCCACCTGAGGAGAGAGGGCGACTCAGGGCTGCCCAGGCCCCGAAGCCTGGCCAGGTGCAGAGACTCTGCCCTGGGGAGGGGGTGGGGGGTGGCCCTGCCCCAGGGACTGATGGGACATTTGGCCCTCTGCAAATTCAGGCCTGCTTGTGCTCTGGGCCTAGGCTCTGATACTGTCTGTCACCTTGCAGGGAAGCTGACTGCTCAGGTAGGGGTGGAAATGGGGGTGGTTGAGCTGGGAAGGGTCTTTCGTAAGCATGGTCCATTCTGTTTCCTCCCTTTTCTTTTCTTTTGTCAGTTGTGGGGCTTGGACTCAGGGCCTGGGTGCTGTTGGTGAGCTTTTTCACTCAAAGCTAGTGCTCTACCACTTTGATCCACAGCACCACTTCCAGTTTTCTGGTGGTTCATTGGAGGTAAGAGTCTCATAATTTTCCTGCCCAGGCTGGCTTTGAACTGCAATCCTCAGATCTCAGCCTCCTGAGTAGTAGGATTACAGGTGTGAGCCACCAGTACCTTCCTTCCTTTCCTTCCTTCCTTTTCTTTCTTTGAGGGGCAGTACTAGGGCTTGAATTTGGTCTCATGCTCACTGGGCTTGCTTGCTCAGCTGACACTCTACCACCTAAGCCAGGCCTCAGCCCAGCTTTTTGCCAGTTAATTGGAGATGGAGTCTCACAGATGTTTCTGCCTGAGCTGGCCTCCAGTTGTGATTATCTGGATCTCAGCCTCCTGAGTGGCTAGGCTGACAGGCGTGAGCTGTTGGTGTCTGGCTGGCATTGTGTTTCTTAACCACCAGTGAGCACGCCTTTCCCTCAGGGCTGCGGGCCTCTGTGTACGTGAGTGAGTGTGTGTGTGTGTGTGTGTGTGTGTGTGTGTATGCACAGATGTGTGCAGGCCTGTGTCCTCCTCAGGCTTTGGGGACCAGGTGGCATCTGGACCCAGGGTCCCCTCCCCCACACCACAGACAGACCCTCTGGGCCAGGCAAGCAGGCTAAGCCAAGGCTCCTAAAGCCTCCCTCTGACTCACCTGGGAGCTTGGGTGCTTTGATGGGGTACCCCAGTGGGACACCAGGCTGCTGGCCCCCAAAAGGTCCAACTCCTATGGGAACAGAAAGAGCAAAAAGTCAAGCCCCTGACTTGAGCCAGTAATCCCCTCCCTCCAAACCCTTGACCTGAAGTTCCTTGTGGCACTGGGGTTTGAACTTGGGGCCTCATGCTTGTCAGACAAACATTCTACTACTTAAGCCATGCCTCCATGCTTTGTTTCTTTTTCAGATAGGGTTTTAAGTTAACCTGGCCTGAGCTGGCCTCTCACCACACTCTTTCTGTCTCTGCCCTCTGACTAGCTGGGATTGCAGCGTGTGTCACTCTGCTCTCTGGATCTCTGATGCGCCACTTGTGAGCAGATGTAACAGCTCCCTTTTGTTTCCTGGAACCATCCTAAAGGTGCCCCCTGCCTCTCTGTCCTGGGTCAACAGCACATCTCCCAGGGCCCCTTCCTCCAGCTAACTGCTCAGCTTGCAGTCAGTCCCCAGAACCCTTCACACAACTGCTGGACTTTTGGGCTCCTTTACACTCTGTATGAATAGGGGTTGGGCCAATGTCACTTTGTGAAAAGGCCAGGCCTGGGTGGGATTTCGGGTGCCTGACCCCCTCTCAGGGTTGACCTTTGACTTGGACATGGGCATGCCCTCTCCAGCCCACAAGAGGAGAACCAGCCTTGCCTCACCTGGGATTCCAGCAAAAGCGCCACCTCCACCTGCAATGACAAAGAGTAGTCACTGCCTCTGTGGCAGGGTGCATGGACAGGCAGCCCATGTCCCCTTGTATTCCCTGGGCCCGGGCATGAGAAGGGCCCACCAGAGGGCTCTTCACAAGCTGGGCATCCACGTACGCTACCCTCAGCACAGCCCTGAGGACGGTCCACCTCCCCCCCACTCCCCAGTTGCATGCTTACCTGGGGTCTTGGCCTTGACTCCTGTACCGGTGGGAACCCCAGGGAGCACCCCCACACCAGGGAACCGAGTTCCTGAGGGACAAAGGGATACCTGTCTGCTTGGCAATGATCCTTGGTACCTGTCTCAGGTCCCCTCACTCATGCCCATCAGCCCCAGTGCGGCCCGGGGGCGGGGAGAGAAAGGATTTGTGACCCCAAATCAGGAAAATCCTAGTTTCTGTTTTAATTATGCTATGGATGGAATAAGGGCTATAAGCACATAGTGCAGAGGCTTTGCCACTGTGCTGTCCTTAGCCCAAGTTCTGCTTATTTTTGCCAGTACTGGGACTTGAACTCAGAGCCTTAAGCTCAAGGCTGGCGCTCTCTTACACCAGTGAGCCACAGCACCCCTTCTGGCTTTCTGGTGGTTCATTGGAGATAAGAGTCTCAAGAACTTTGCTGGCCCAGGCTGGCTTTGAACCTTGATCCTCAGATCTCAGCCTCCTGAGTAGCTAAGATTACAGATGTGAGCCACAGGCAACTGGCTTTCCAGATTCCACATTTTAATTTTATTTGCCTGTGGGTGAGCTCATCCTCAGTAGCCCTCATTCCTAAACTGGGGTTGATGGTAAGTCCACCTATAGCCAGTATGGCGAGGTGCAGTGGGCCTCAGAACAGGGAGAAGGAGAGGCGGCCACTCTGCCAGCAAATCTCACAGAGAGGCCCAAGTCTGGGGGATTTCAGGTTGGGTGGGGTGGCAGACCCTGGCAGGGAAGGGAGTAGAGAGCTGTTAGGGTCCCCTGTGGGGCAGGCTGGCTGGGTGGGGCCCCTGGTGACTCATGGCTTTGGGAAACAGCTGCCCACTCTGGGGGACTGGGCTTGTGTGTTGGGGGAGGGGGAGGCCTGATTTAGGCCATGATGAGGGGAGGGCGCAGGCCTGGGGTCAGGATTTGGGTGGGGCTGGGGAGCCTCCCTCCACTGACAGGGACCGAGAGTCATTAGTTAGAGCTCAGAATGGCTGTGGGCCAGGACCACGGTCTCTGGTGGCTCTTGCATGGGGCTGAGGAGGAAGCCAGGGAGGCTGGGAGGCTGGCCTTCTTCCTACAAGTCCCCCCTCCCTTTCCCTTCTGGTCCTCACCTGTGCCTGGCAGCACTCCACCTGGGTACACACCTGGGAGGCCCACACCTGTAACAAAAGGAGGAGGGGCGTGAGCTCAGCCCCGCCCCCAGTCCACCTAGCCCCTCCATCCACCTGGCCTCAGGGGCCAGCATGCCCACGGGGCTGCAGGGGACACATAGACCGGGGTGGCCTTGGCCCTGCTCCCATGAGGAAGTCATCTGCCAACTGTTTTCCGTGCTGGTTTATCTCGTCTCCTGGAGCCTATTTCCCGGCCAGCCCACCTCTCCCTGGCTAACAGCTTCCAGATGTTTTCCCCTGCTGTGGACTCAGGCAGCCTTTGTCTAACCTGAAGTCACTTCCTACAGAGCCGGAGCAGCTCAATGAGCTCCAGATGGGGTGTCAGGCTCACCCCAGCTCTGCCAGGACCAACTCCTCAGCCCTCAGGCTCTTACTCTCTTCATGCTGAGTCACCATGCCATAAAGCTGGTCTCTGAGGTCTCTGATCTTAGGGCCTGGAAGGCAGGCAGCCTCATCCTCATACTGGAGATAGTCAGCCCTGCCCCATGTCAGGCCCTGCCTTATGACAGCCAGGCCCTGCCCACAACAGCCAGGCCCCTCCCCTGATGGTCAGACCTGCCCTATGGCAGTCAGGCCATGCCCCATGTGATCAGGCCCCACCCCCAAGAGGCCATGCCCCACCCCTCTGAGACAGTCAGGTCCTGCCCTTCCTCCCCTGGCCATGGAGGAGATGCTCTGGTCCTCCTTGACCTCTGCCCTCCAGCCCCCCAAGTATCCGCACTGACCCGGTACTTTCCCCGGCTTTCCTCCAGCTCCGACTCCCACTCCAGCCTGTGGCACCGCCACACCTGTGTGGAAAGGGGTGCATTAGACTTGGTTGGGGGTGTCCTGGGGGCTTCACCAAAGGAACCCTGCTCTAGCCATCTTACCTGTAGACACCCCTAAGCCACCGACTCCACCAAGGCCACCAATGCCACCAACACCGCCAACACCACCGATGCCGCCGACGCCACCAAGGCCACCAACTCCACCAACACCTCCAAGCCCGGCACCTGCAGGGCCCAAGAGCCAGAGGTGACATTTGGGGGCCTACACTGCCCTGGGGGCCCCCACCACCACCCTGCCACCAGTCCATTTGGAGCCAGGCACAGTAGCTGCCTCCTTCAGCCCTGCTGGGCTGGAAATGCAGACCTGTCCACCCCTTCCCAGACCTGGAGAAGGATGAGGCCCAGGCCATGCCACTCACCCGCCTTGGCAGCCGCTTTATAAGCTGCTGCAGCTCCGGCTGCCCCACCGGGCACCAGCGCCCCAGGGTAGGCACCTCCAGGAAAAGCCCCCAGGCCTGGGGAGAGGGGGGGAGGGGGTGGGGTCACATACTGCCCTGTCTGCTGCATCCCACCCCCACCCAGGAAGCACAGGGGAAACTCCCACGACCCGGTTCTGTCTTGGAGCCAGATGCTGGGCAGCTGTGTGGAGCCTGACCCAGCGCCCCCCGCCAAGATGCCTCTGTATGCCACTGGCTGGGACCTTCTACTTAGCCCTCATCTGCAGGTCTTCACCATGCCCAAAGCCCTCAGGGGACCCCTTGGGAGCTACTTAGACAGGTGCTACCAAGCCACCGGGTGCCCAGGCTGGGCATGCTCTGTCCTGACTGCCCTTGATGCCAGGCGCCGGCACTGGGCTGGGGGTGGGCATCCTGTCGGGGGCCTTCACTCACCTGCCCCAGGGCCTCCGCCAGCAAGCCCTCCAGGACCTGTGGGAAGAGGTAAGGATGGGTAGGGGGCTCCCACCCAAGCCCACACAGGGAAGGGGTTCACAGGGTCTCCCTGGCTTCCTTGCAGGGGGCCTCTTCTGTCCCCCTATGTCTGTCTGGGCCTCGTGTCCAGATGAGACCGAAAAGCTAAATGGACCCAGCTGCTTCTCTAGGTGCCACATCCGGGCACCCTGGCTCCCCCAGCCCCACAGGTGACATTCCACTGGTGGAGAGTCAGGCCAGTGGGCGTCCCGGACATGATGGGTTGTTTTCTAGTTCTGGGGGACTGTGTTCTGGAGGAGACAGCTCCGGCTGCGGGGTGCAGAGTCCCAGGGCCGGGGACCCTCAGCACTGGGCTGCTGACCGCTGGGGCCAGTGCACCTCCTGCCCACGCGTCTCCCCTGGGGGCCTGCATCTCTCAGGGACGGGTGAGGCTGGGGAACTTCCCAGGGGCCCCCCTACCCCTCAGGGCTCTGTCAGCTGCTGCCCTCAAAGTCAGCCTCGGACAGTGAGTGCACTCGTCCCTCCCTTCTACACCAGAGCTTCAAGGGGAAGATGCGATCAGTGGGAAGGCCAGGAGGGGTAGCTGGGCGAGGGAGGGGCCTCCATCTTTCCCCCAGGTGTCCCTGATCCCAGGGTGGCTTGCCAACACCCACTTTCCTCTAGGCTTACCTGCCCCAAATGCCCCAACTCCAGCACCTGGAAAGAAAGAAGACAGGATGAGCTGACCGCACGCAGCCCTACCAGTTCACCTCCATTTCTTTTGAAGTTAAAAGAGGCCTAGACCCAGGCCAGGAGTGGTGGCTTATGCCTATAATCCTAGCTACTCAGGAGGCAAGAAAGAGCAAGATTTTAGTTTGAGGCCAGTCTGGGGGTGGAGGGTTAGCAAGACCCCACTTCAATCAATAAGCCAGTTGTAGTGATGTATGCTTGGAGGAGTCACAGAGAGGAGGATTGCAGTCTGAGACCAACCCTGGACAAAAACCTGACGAATAGCTAACACATAAAGAAGGACTGAGGCCAAGGCTCAAGTGATCCAACACCTACTTAGTCTGAGTGTACCAGCAAATGGCCTCCCTGCCCCGTGCCTCAGTTTCTCCATCTCCACGTGGCTTGTGTGTTTCCTACCATCCTAAAGTCAGAGTTTGTGAGCAGAAAGCCCCCAGTATGTGTGGCCCATCAGGGACCTGGGGGTGCCCGGACCGCTTCCTGTTTTGGCTTGCTGTCCTTTGGGTGGGAGGCTGGCCTCCTGCTAGCTCCAAGCTGCCGGGTCCCCTGCTGCGAGCCGAGGAAGGAGGGCGCCCACGTGGACAAGCCACTGCCAGGCCACCCACTCTCCACTGCCAAGGGATTAGTTGTTCCCGAGCGTGACACCATGCTCTCCCTGGGTGCCCCATCGTGTCTTGTCTGAGCACGCCCAGGGCCTAGCCCCTCAGCCAGATGTGTGTGTGTGTGTGTGGGGGGGTAGAACATTCTTGGGGGAAGTGGGGGGAGGATTTGAAGCCCTGAGTTCTGAGGCATGAATGTAACCAGGCTTTTGGGTTCTGCCTTCCTTCCAGCCTGTTCCTTTGCCTGAGCTAGTTCTTTTGGAACTCTAACCTGAGTCTTTCATCAGGCAAAGCCTTAGTGAGGTCTGGCTCCTGGCGGGGCGCTGTGGCGGTGTTCTGGGTAGAGCCTTAAAGAAGCCCCTCTCTCTATTCCTGAGTCTTCCTGGCTAAAGAAAGCCCCTTTCCACATCACCTGGCTGCTATCACCCTGCAGGCGTGATGGCTCACGCCCGCCACCCTAGCTACCCAAGAAGCAGAGATCTGAGGCTCAAGGTTCAAAGCCAGCCAGGGCAGGAACGTCCATGAGAAGGAGAGGGAGAGGGAAAAAGGCTGGAAGTGGAGCTGTGGCTCAAATGGTAGAGTACCAGTCTTGAGCACAAAAGGCCTGAATTCAAGTCCCAGAATTGGGAACATCCCCCCCCCCCAAAAAAAAAATTCCTTCTGAGAGTAGCACCCTCTAGAAGATTTGCTGCAGGTCCTAGCAGGGGGGAAGCAGCAAACCCCAGAGTTTCTGGGTCTTACCAACTCCAAGACCCTAACCTTGTCATCCCCACAGAACCCAGGACCCTCCCTGCCCTGATGCCCTCCTGCTGTGTCCTCTTGCTCTGGCCCAGCCCAGGAGTTTCACAATCTAGAGTCCGGGTCTCAGATTCATGTGCAGTTGAATCAGGGGCCGTGGAAATTTCCTAAGAGCCATTGGACAGGGGCACTGTCCCCAGCTGGGGCTTTGGAGCCAGAACAGCGGGGCATGGGGACAGGGTGGGGATGCTGGGGCCTCAGCCAGGGCCCCCTGGGGGGGAAACGCCCTCCCTGGAGCCCAGTGGGCCCCCCCCCACATCCTTGGCAGGTCCTGCCCAGGGAGGAGCAGGCAGGGGGTTGTGGTGGCCCCTTCAGAGCTCAGCCTGGGGTTAGGATGCAGGCATAGTCTGGGGGGTCTGAATCCCCAGGTGCTATTTTACAGGCTTGGGGGGGCCACAGGGACCCCAGGCTCTACCCCTGCCCACTACTGGGCTGTTCCTGAGGCCCTGGGCAGAGGTCATCTCTGGAGATACTGACAGAGGGGTGCACTGAGTCGCCCCAACCTGCTAGCCTATGGCTCTGGGAGCTGGGTTTGGTCTTCTGGTAGTGGGGTATCATTGTCCACCCCTTCTTCCTTCCCTCTTTCCCACCTGTTGACTCCCCTGCCAGGTTCAAGCTTAGGGGACCTTTCCCCTGCCTCTCAGCCTTTTCTCAGAGGCCTGTGAGCCCTGAGATCTCACGTGGTAGACCCTTCCGTGGCCTGGCCTTCCGTGGCAGGGTCTTACCTGGCTTGGGTGGTTTGCCTCCAGGACCCAGCACTGCAGAGGGAAAAGACAGAGGTCAAGGCCTCCCCTCTTAGGGCTGCTCCCCCCCCCCCTCTTGAGGCAGAGTGCGGGCCCTGTGGTTCCCCACCCTGTCCCAGCCCCAGGAGCCCCGCTCTGCCGCAGTGTGCGGCCTCTTCACTTTGAGCGCTGTTTCCTCAGCGTTTTGGGGAAGAAGGTCAAGAGACAGTCCGGGGAGGTGTGCTCAGTGGATAACATGAGGGCCTAGGGCCTTTTGGGGGTTGTCAGGGCTGAGGATGGGCTGGGGGAGGCGGGGTCAGGATGACACCCAGATCCCTGCAGGGAGAAGCCATGATTGCTTTCTGAACTTACCTCCTCCTCCTCCCAGGCCTCCAAGACCAGCCCCTGAGAGAGAGAGCGGGGGGAGTGTGTCAATGGCTTTTCCATACCCTTCCAGCCAGGCCAGCCCACCACTCAGTCATATCTGTCACTAGCTAGCTGCATACCCTGGGTAAGTCAACCTGTGCCAGCCTCAGTTTCCCTGTTTGTCCACTGGGGCAATGACCCCAGGTTGGTGAGCACCGGTGTCTCTCCTATTCCTCATCAGTTCAGAACACTCAATTCCAACACCTCAATCCTTTTTTGCTGCCCTTCACCAAATTCTGGCTCAAATACATCTTTTTTCTTTTTCTTTTTTTTCTTTTTGTCAGTTGTGGGGCTTGAATTCTGGGCCTGGGTGCTGTCCCTCAGCTCTTCAGCTCAAGGCTAGCACTCTACCACTTCAGCCACAGCGCCACTTCTGTTTTCTGGTGGTTTATTGGAGATGAGAGCCTAATATGGACTTTCCTGCCTGGGCTGGCTTTGAACTGCGATCCTCAGATCTCAGCCTCCTGAGTAGCTAGGATTATGGGTGTGAGCCACTGGCGCCTGGGTTTCTTTTTTCTTTCCTTCTCCTTCCCCTTCCTTCCCAGCCTGCCTGCCTGCCTTCCTCCACCCTCACCTCTCTCTCTCCCTCTCTCTCCTGTCTCCCTCCCTCATTCTTTCCTTCCCTCTTTCTTTTTTCCCTCCTTCCTTCCTTCCTTCCTTCCTTCCTTCCTTCCTTCCTTTCTTTCTTTCTTTCTTTCTTCCTTTCTTCCTTTCTTTCTTTCTGTCCCTGTTCTGCGGCTTGAACTCAGGGCTTGGCTGCTGCCCCTGAGCCTTTTCTTTTTCTTTCAATCCTGAGGCTTGAACTCAGGGCCTAGGCTCTGCTCCTGAACCTTTTTGTGCTCAAGTCTAGCGCTCTACCACTTGAGCCACAGCACCACTTCTGGCTTTTTCTGTTTATGTGGTAATGAGAAACTGAACCCAGGGCTTCATGCATGCAAGGCAAGCACTCTACCACTAAGTCACTTTCCCAGCCCTTCCTGAGCTTTTTCACTCAAGGTACCTGGTGCTCTACCACTTGAGCCACAGCTCCACTTGTGGTTTTCTGTGGTTGGTTGGAGATAAGAGTCTCACAGATGTTCCTGCCAAGGACTGGCTTTGTATCATGACCCTCAGATCCCAGCCTCCTGAGTTGCTGGGATTACAGGTATGAGCCACCAGTGCCAGGTACAATCTGCCTTCTGTGGCTGGGTGTCAAGTCCCAGTACCTTACCTGGATAATAAACCCCTCCAGGAACTCCACCTGGAATAGCTCCAGGGACCCCTGCAAGGAAGGAAAGTAGAGTTAGCTATCAGAGCCTGTGAGGATCTCCGTAGCCTGGTCAACCAAGCAATTTGTACCTCCTCCACCTCCTCCTCCTCCTCCTCCTCCTCCTCCTCCTCCTCCTCCTCCTCCTCCTCCTCCTCTTCCTCTTCCTCCTCCTCCTCCTCCACCACCTCCTCCTCCTCCTCCTCCTCCTCCTCCTCCTCCTCCTCTTCCTCTTCCTCCTCCTCCTCCTCCACCACCTCCTCCTCCTCCTCCTCCTCCTCCTCCTCCTCTTCCTCCTCCTCCTCCTCCTCCTCCTTCTTCTCCTCCTCCTCGTCCTTTTCCTTCTCCTTCTCTTTCTCCTTCTCATTCTCGTTCTCCTTCTCCTCCTCTTCACTCTTTCTGTTTTTTGTTTATTTGTTTGGTTTTGGTCATGGGGCTTGAACTCTGGGCCTGGGCGCTGTCCCTGAGTTCTTCAGCTCAAAGTGAGCCACAGAGCTTTCTGGTGGTTAATTGGAGATAAGAGTCTCACGGACTTTCCTGCCCAGGCTGGCTTTGAACTGCGATCTTTAGACCTCAGCCTCCTGAGCAGCTAGGATTACAGGTATGAGCCACCAGTACCTGGCTCTGTTTTGTTTTATAATTAAAATGTTTTTCTTTTGAGGCAGGCTCTCACTATATATCCCAGCCTGGTCTCCCAAACTGGAGCTCCTCCTGACTCAGCCCTCTGCATGCTGGGATTAGAGGTGTGCCTTTCATATCATCTCATTCTTCCTCCTCCAGATGGCTCTGGGAGGGTGGAAAGGTCGGGATTAGCATCATGTTTTTTTTTTTTAACAGATGTGAAATCAGGCTGAGAGAGGTTGAGTGAGGTGTCTGGGGTCACACAGCTTGAAAGAGACAGGGCCTGGACTGCATTCCAGCTGCTGCTCTGAGTGTGAATGACTGGCCCTGTGCTTGCTTGGCTTTCCTAGGAGGTGGAGGGCCCTGTGTGGGGCGGGCTGGGAGCACTGAAGAGAGGGCCAGCTGGGCAGGCTCAGCAGCAGCGAGCCTTAGGAAAACACAGCCTTTTGCACACTGAGAGGCTGGTGTGGCGTGTGAGCCCTCAGCCACTGGGCCACAGTGCTCAGGTGTGGCTCTGGCTGGGGGTGGGGGGGGAGTCTGGGGTGGGAACGGCCAATTCCTGGTCTGGGACCACGAAGCCACAGTGGGGAGTTTGACAATGCTAGCTGTTGTCATGGCAACTCATGGAGTCCCAAATTTGGACTCCACTGTAAAATGTCTCCAACCTGGACCAGTCCCTTGCTGACCCCTTGGCCCCTCCAGGCAGGATGGGGCTGGAGAATCTGTGGGGTACAGGGAGAGGCAGTGACGTGGCTCAGCATGGTGTCTATCTGGTCCCTGACGTCTGCCTGAAGATGCCACCCAGCTTTGGGTAGCCACCTTCTAGACGTGGTCAGCTCTGCTGAGCCACTGGCCAGAGCCAGAGCCCAGGGCACCTGGCTGTCATGCCACAGCCTGGCACCACTCCAGGGACTTAGGCCCAGACAGTGTCAGCCAGTTGGGAAGAGCATCCAGAGCTCAGCGCCGTGGCCACAGGGGGCCCGGACTGTGGGGAGGAGGCCTTTGGCCCTGTCATTGGCTGCCAAACCCACCCCTGGCTGGTGGTCTGAGACCTTCCGTGCCTCCCACACTGGGCTTCCAGCTAGGAGCGCTTCACCTCTGCCTCCTTCCGCCTCCCTGTGGATTTTCTTTCTCCTCATTCTTGGCCTTTTAACAGAGAGATGGGCAGGAACAGTGCGGGAACCTGGACCCTGGCCTCTGGATTTGAATCCTGCTTATCTGTGTGAGCCCAAGGGAGTCATGCAAACTCTCTGAACCTTGTTCACCTTCTGATCCTGCCTCATCACGTTGCAAGGGGGGGTATGGAAGGGTCCATGACTTGTCTATACTTAGCACAGAGTATCAGATGGCCAGCCGAGTGTGGTGGTGCTCTCCTGTAATCCCAGCACTTCAGGAGGCTGAGGTAGGAGGATCTCTAGTTTGAGAACAGCTTGGATTACTTGGTGAGACCCTGTCTCAAAACCAAACCCAAATGAAAAGAATTCTGCATTCATTCTATTCTTTTTGAGAAAGAAGTGTCTGTTGGCTGCCCCAAACATAAAAAGCTGGTGGCCTCAAATCTCCATTCTCTCCTGTTTTGCTGCCCCAGTACCTGGTCCCCGGGGCAGAGGAAATAATAGGTGCTCACTTATCAGTAACATGAGGGAGAGGCAGACCCACTGCTTCTCCTGACCTGCGCTGCCCAGGCGGGGCTGTCTTCCTGATGCGTTTGTCCAGCGCTCTGGCCTGGCTGAACCCCACTTCCTTTCTCTTGGGGTTCTTGTTCTCTCATTACCCTGCCTGTGGCCGGCACTTTCCGGAGGAAGACGCCCACAATTCACAACCCCAAAGCCTTGGCTGAATGCCACACCCGAACCGGAGAGAGCTGGCTCCTTTTTGTATTTGTATTTTTATATTTTGCTGGTCCTGGGGTTTCAACTCTAGGGTCTCACATTTGCTTTGCAGACGCTTTACCATCGGAGCCACGCCCACCACGTTAGCCACGCCCACACCAGCGAGCCATGCCCTTTGTGTTAGCCCCGCCCACAGCAGACCAGGCACGGCCCATCGCTTTAGCCACGCCCCCCACCGCGAGCCACGCCCTGTGGTTTTGGCCTCGCCCACTCCACGAACGCGCTGTTTGGGCCACGCCCTCCCCCAGTCTTCTTTTTCCTTTAGTTTTCAGACAGTGCCTGGCAATTGTGTCCATGCGGGGCCTCAGCCTGCACATCTGCCTTCTGAGTATCTGGGATGACAGGTGTGTGCCACGACGCTCGGCTCACATTGATTGAGTTGGGAATCTTGATAACTTTTGTGTCCTGGCTGGCCTCTAATGTCTCAAGCCTCCTAATCGCTGCCTCTAAAGTTATCTGGGATGACAGGAGCGGGCCACTGTGCCTGGCTGGACCTGGTGGGTTTTGTTGTTGTTTGTCTCTATTTTGCAGAGGAAGTGGAGAAGGTGCCAAGGTCCCTGCCTGTGTCTCTTCAAGTGTGGGACAGGTGAGGATCACTTAGGCAGTGTGTAGAAGGGTTTCCAGAAGGTCTTAGCCCTTCCCATGCCACCCCATGCCCAGCCCAGTCTTGTTTCGTTCCTCCGCTCTTTGGCACAAGCCAGGAATGTCCTCCCTCCCGGCTTGCCAATCCTTCCCACCCCAGGCTGAGCTCAAATCTCCCTCCAGCTTTCCCGAGCCCGGGGCTCTTCTTGCCTGCGGCTTGTCTGGCCCGAAGCAGCGAGCCTGGAACACGTTCGTCTTGTTTTATGTGGCTTTGGCTCGCAGCACCGGCCAGCCTGGGGCGGGACTCTGCTCTCTCGCGTCTAAGAATCAGGATCAGAACAATTTTCTGGTCTGGGCTGGAGCTTTTTCCTCAAACAGCCCTAGTATTTCTGCTTGCACACGGCCCTGATGGGCGCTTGCTACCCTCAACTATGAGGTCACCCATGCCTGACTTCCAAAGTGGACACAGCCTGGCACTGCCATCTCCCCTGGCCCGCTCCTCTGTCCACTTGCTGACTCCTCTCCCCTCCCCTTCTTTTCCCCCCTCTTCCCTTCCTTCCCCTTCCCTCCCTTTCCCTTCCCTCCCCTTCTCTCCTCTCCTTGCCTCTCCTGTCTTGCTATGTAGCCCAGGCTAGCCTCTAACAACCCTCCTGCCTCCACTTCCTGAGCTCTGGGATTACAGGCATGCCCCGTTGCACTTTGTTCAACACTCACTTTGGTTTCCAGTTTTAACTCAGATGTCCCTTCCGCCGTGAAGCCCTCCTGGATTTCTTGGGGCTCCTCTGGGGCTCCCTTCTTTCCCCAGCCTGGCTGCTTTCTTCATCTATATCTACATCAACTGCCTGTCCCCCATTCCCGAAGGAAGTCAACCCTAAACATTAAACATGGGACCAAACTACAGTGATGTCAGGTCAGTAAATACAGGTCACATAAACCCTGCCTGGACACTGTGCTCCAGACTCAAAGACCCACAGGCTGCCGGCTTGGTAAGTGAGGGCTGGGCCAGCAGGCATTGGCAACAGGCTTTGCTAAACCAAAGTCCAGGGGCCCACCTGGTAAGCAGATAAGACCGCGCATGGCCAAGGGCTTTTCAAAAGCAAGCTGTCCTCTGTGGATGGGTGACTGTAACTGTCCCTGCCCCCATGGGGACTATGTTTGCCCTCCTGCCCTGGTGACAGCAGCCCAGAGATCAAACTGAACCTGAGCTGTGTAGCCTGGTGACTCATCATAGACACCTGAGCGCCTATATGTATAAGAAGAGAAGGCTCAGCTAGGTGCTGTGGCTCACTCCTGTAATTCCAGCTCTCAGGAGGCTGAGGTCTGAGATGGAGGGTTGAAGTCAGCTGAGTTGAGCTTTATCCTTGCAGGGAGGGAGCCGCAGAGCCCAGCGATGTCACACAGTGGTGGGACTCAGCCAGGCCTGCCCCTCCCCAGAGGCTGCCTGGCCCCTCACCTCCACCTTCCTTGTCTTTTGGGGAGGTTGGGGGGGTGGTTCTGGGGTTTGAACTCTGAGTTTCATGCTTACTTGGCTTGCTTGTTCGTGGCTGGTGCTCTACCATGTGAACCACACCTCCAGCCTGGCATTTTTCTGGTTATTTGGAAGATAGAGTCTTAGCATACTTTTCTGCCCAGGCTGATCTCTGATTTCAGTCCTCCAGCTCTCAGCCTCCTGAGTAGCTAGACTTACAGGTGGGAACCACCAATGTCTGGCCAGGAAAAACAAGCTGGCTGATTTACCAACTAGCTGCTCAGACATCTCCTCCCCCTTCCCCTACCTCCACCAGGGGCTGCCTGAACCTCAGTTTCCCCACTTCAGGGGATGATTTTCACATTTCTGGGTTCCCCCAGGATTAAGGACAACACTTGGATGCCTGGAGAGGAGGGGGTCAGGTGTCTGTGCAGTGCCCTCTGACCCCCACTGTCCCAGCCCAGGAACACGGGGCCCTCGGCACTCCAGCAGTGCCCTGGGAGCAGTGGCCACGCCCCTCCAGCCTGTTCTGGTCCCCCACCCTGGCCCCCAGCATCCCCTGTGAGAGCCAGCAGAACTGAGCTCCACTATCCCCTGCTAGCTAGCCTCGCTATCCTTGCGGGGCTCTGCACCCCGGCTGCCATCCCAGACACCCTGCCCTGAGCCTAGATGTCCACCTGCCCAGGTCCCAGGTGTGGACTGAGTGCCTGGCATCTGCAGTCATTCGGCATCTGCAGTCATTCAGCATCTGCAAGCCAGGCACACCTGCACACCTGACACATGCATGCACACCTCACACACGCACACACGCTCCGACCTGAGAACCCTCCCCCCCGCACCCAGCTCTACCCACAGACTCTCCAATCCCAGGGGAACTGAGGGATTCTTGAGGGATGAGGACCTTGCTGAAATCACCCCGCTCCTTCTTCCCAGGAGTGCAGGGAGCCCTTGTCTGCCCACCCGTGGGACCCCTGGGAAAGCTGGGTTTCCCATACCCTGGGGGGGGCAGCAGACACTGGATCCTGGGGTGTCTGTCTGGCAGGTTGTTATAGAGCAGGGCTGGCTCTGGTGGGGAGACCTCGGGGTATAGGGCTCCCTCTGGCCCCTTCCAGCTGCCAGGCCTCCTGTCAGTCCAGCCACCTGGCTGGCAGGGCCCAGGGCCCAGAGCTGCTGTGGGGGCCCTTACCTCCAGGCTGCGCGGGGTGCAGGAGGCTCAGTAAGAAGAGCAGGAATCCGGGGTGCTGGGCCGCTGCAGACAGACCCGCCATCTCGGGGAGGAATGCGCCCAGCCTGCTCTGTGCACCTCGTTTTATCCCCAAGGCCTAATTGCAGCCTCCTTGGCTGGAGGGAGGGCGGGCGGGAGGGCGGGCGGAGGGGAGCTGGGGGAGGGGGCGCGGGGAGGGGGCAGTTACGAAAGGCCCCGCTTGCTCGCGAGCCCGCTGGGCTGGGTCTGCCCCGACTGGGATTTTTTTTTCCCCTACACATAGACACACACGCACACGCACACGCGCGCACACACTCACACGGCCCCCTCCCATTCCCTTCCCACTTTCCCTGTGTGGCTGTTCTGGCCCGGCTGGCCCGGATCCCGCCCCAAAGTGCGAGGGGCGCGCTGCCAGCTCAGCCCTGGGAGAGGAAGCGGGAGGGAGGCCTGGCCCGGCCCGGCCGCCAAAAACCTGCGCCCCAGCCAAGGCCCAGCGGCCAGGCCCCCGCCCCCCCCCTCCGGCTGGGCCCCGGGCCCAGTGTGGGGACACGGGCCAGCTGTCCCGCGCCTCGCCTCCGCCCTGGCCCTCAGACACCCTACACCCCCCTCCCACCCCAGGCCTGGCTACAGACAAGCTCTGTCCTGACTGGGGTTGGGGTGAAGTAGGCCTGGGGCTCCCGGGTGAAGGGCTGATGGGGGACAGCAGGCTGGCCCTGCCAGGTGGGCGCCTTGGGGGCAGGGTGCACCCATTGGGGCCGAGGGCTCAGCCACACAGGTGTGGGGTCCGCACTGCAGGAGCAGGGTGGGGGGGTGGGCTGTCCCCAGCGAAGGCCAGGCCAGTGCCTTCCCCGAGGACACGTGGGGCACGGAGGGCACCCAGACACACAGGGCTCCGGCTCTGCATAGCCTCTGGCAAAGGTCAGGCTGCACCCTGCATCCTGTGAATGGGGGAGCCAGCCCCTTCCCCATGGCACGAAGCCCCACAATAGCAGGGTCACCACCAGTAACCCCCATGGATCCAGGAGCCCCTGGTGTTCCCCCCACCCATGCACATGTACACACACACTTGCACATACAACACAATACCCGCACACCCATGTGCATGCATACACACATGCACACAGGCACACACACATCACATACACACACACACCTTTGTCTCTGGGAATGTCCAGGGCTGCAATTCCTCTAGTGACCAGGAGGGGGCGAGCCACCCCAGCCCAGCCCAGCCAGGGGAGCCCGGCCAGCCTGTCCTAGGTGAAGGGAGATCCCCAGGTTTTAGGGGGACGGAGAAGGGAGGGGCAGAGGAAGGTAGAGAAGGTCACATCCTTTTGAGCCCACACTAGTGAGTGAGAATGTGAGATGGGAGGAAATGGTCTACCTGTGCTGGGGGGGGGGAGGGGGAAGAGGGGAGTTCAGGCCGTGTGTCCTGGGGCTTTTCCCTGCCCTGGGGGGGTGGGGGTGGGCGATTAACAGCCCTCACCCAGCCAGCTGCCCAGAGAAGGCCAGGGCAGAGGCTAGAAAGGCAGGCCTGGAGCTCCAGATTCTACTGCCTCCATCGGCTGGAGGCCTGGGATTACCACTTCACCTGACTGACTCTAGTACTTTTTCCTTTTATTTGTGCCAGTCCTGGGACTTGAACTCAGGACTTGGGTGCTATACCTTAGCTTTTTCATTCAAGGCTGGCTCTCTACCACTGTAGCCACAGTTCCACTTCTGGCTTTTTAGTTATTCATTGGAGGTAAGAGTCTCATGGACATTCTTGGCATAGGTTGGCTTCAAACTGAGATCCTCAGATCTTCAGCTCAAGGCTAGAACCCTACCACTTGAGCCACAGCACCATTTCTGGCCTTTTTCTGCTTATGTGGTACTGAGGAATGAAGCCCAGGGTTTCATGTATGTGAGGCAACCACTCTACCACTGAGCCAACTTCCCAGCCCCTCTAGTATTTTTTTTTCCCTCATGGGGCTTGAACTCTGGGCCTGAACGCTGTCCCTCAGCTCTTCAGCTCAAGGCTAGCACTCTACCACTTGAGCCACTGTGTCACTTCTGGTTTTCTGGTGGTTTATTGGAGATAAGAGTCTCATGGACTTTCCTGCCTGGGCTGGCTTAGAACCGTGATCCTCAGATCTCAGCCTCCTGAGTAGCTAGGATTACAGGTGTGAGCCACTTTTTTTTTTTTAATGGAGTTATTTCTCATTTGCTAAATGATGGTGAGTGGGCCTACCAGGCAAGGTTGTTGCAAATATAGATAAAATGGATTCTTCTATTTGTGCCCTGTGCATGCCAGATTAAAAAAATTCTTTATAAAAAGTCTTATCTCCTAGCCAAGGTTCAAAGCCAGCCCAGGCAGGAAAGTCCATGAGACTCTTTTATCTCCAAGTAACCACAAAAAAACCGGAAGTGGCACTGTGGTTCAAGTGCTAGAGTGCTCGTCTTGATCTGAAGAGCTAAGGGACAGCGCCCAGGCCAAGATTCAAGTCCCACAACTGACCAAAAAAAAAAAAAAAAAAGTCTTATCTGCATCCCATACTGCCATGATAGTTACCAGCTGGGCTGCACTCACTACTCTTCCTGGAGTAGCAGTCTTCTGGTTGGCTGTCTTCCTTCTAGTCCTCCTTGAGTCTCTAGTCATGGAAATACTCCAGAATTTTGGACAGTTCAAAGATGGATGCTGTGGTGTATGTCTGTAATCCCAGCTACTTGGGAGGCTGAAGCAGGAGGATCACAAGTTTGAGGCCAGCCTGGGCTACATAGCAAGTCTCTGTCTCAAGAAAGAAAGAGGGAAGACTAGGGGTGTGGCTCAAGTGGCAGAACACCAGTTTAAGGAAATGTGAGGATTTGACTTCAAACTCGGTACTAAGTGGGGAGTGTTGGCTCATACTTGTAACCCCAGCATCTCAGGAGGCTGAGATCTGAGAATCACAGTTTAAAGCCAACTGAGGCAGGAGCATCTGTGAGATGTGTGTGTGTGTGTGTGTGTGTGTGTGTGTGTGTGTCCTGGGGCTTGAACTCTGGGCCTGGGCACTGTCCCTTAGCTCTTCAGCTCAAGGCTATTGTTCTATTACTTGAGCTGTAACACCACTTCTGGCTTTTTTTCTGCTTATGTAGTGCTGAGGAATCGAACCCAGGGCTTCATGTATTCAAGGCAAGCGCTCTGCCACTGAGCCACCTTCCCAGCCCCTGTGAGATTCTTATCTCCAGTGAACCACCAAAAAGCCAGAGTGGAGCTGTGGCTCAAGTGGTAGATCATCAGCCTTGAGGGAAAAAGCTAAGGACAGTGCCCAGACCCTGAGTTCAAACCCCACCATTGACACACACATGCACACACATGCACACATAACATAGCAATGGAGAGAGAGACAGAGGCAGAGACAGAGACAGAAACAGAGACAGAGAGAATATGAAGACTTTGCTCTGGGTTGATGTGTGTGTGTGGGTTTGGGGGAGCCTAGTGGGGTTCTGAGTGCCTGGGCTCCGTTCCTGGCAGGTGCTGGGGCAGGTCCAGGCCCTGAGCCAGGGAGGGACTTGGGGTGCGGTGGGGAGCAGGCCCCATGCTTCCAGGGGCATGCCAGGGGCCGGAACCGACTCAGCGCCTGATTGATTGCGGGGCTGGGATGGGGCTGGAGGGCGCTTTCCTGGGTAGACTCCAGGCTGCTACCAGGGCTTGGGTCCCATCCTGTCCTAGATCTCTACTAACAGGCATTCCAGAAGGTTCTAGGCACCTCTATAGAGGCTGCCGCCAGATCCAATGGAACTGATTGTCGATGGGAGAGGTAGCCTACACACTGTCCTGCCGCTCACACAGCAAGGGGTGGACGGGCAGCAGGGATAGCCTGGGCACAGCCACAGGGCTGCTGGAGACCTGCTGGTAGTCATTTACACTTGTGTGAGAGCAAGGGCCCTCCAGCCAGCCATGAAAGAAATGTGTTTGATGCTACATTAGGTGGGAGAACAGGAATTTTCATGGGGACCAAACAGGTTTGAGAAGGAAATGAATACTGGCTGGGGAGATGCTTGAGGCAACATTAACAACAAGACTGGGGGAAGAGCCCCAGAGTGCACCCCAGCCGGGAGCAGACCTCCAGAGCACACCTCCCCGGCCCAGCTCGGCCCAGAATCGTACCCTCCACAACATGCCCTTGGCTGGTCTTAAACTTTCCTCCTTCTCTGTCTCTCTCTGTCTCTGTCTCTCTGTCTCTCTTTCTCATGTGCATTGGGCTTGAACTCATGGCCTGGGCGCTGTTGCTGAATTTTTTTGCTCCAGGCTAGCGCTCTACCACTTGAGCCACAGCACCACTTCTGCTTTTCTGGTGGTTTATTGGAGATAAGAGTCTCACAGAGGGGGTGCTGGTGGCTCACGCCTGTAATCCTAGCTACGCAGGAGGCTGAGATCTGAGGATTGTGGTTCAAAGCCAGCCCGGGCAGGAAAGTCCATGAAACTCTTATCTCCAATAAACCACCAGAAAACTGGAAGTGGCCCTGTAGCTCAAGTGGTAGAGCGCTAGCCTTGAGCTGAAGAGCTGAGGGACAGCGCTCAGGCCCAGAGTTCAAGCCCCACGACCGACAAAAAAAAAAAGAGTCTCACAGACTTTCCTCTCCAGGCTGGCTCTGAACCGAGATCCTCAGATCTCAGCCTCCTAAATAGTTAGGATTACAGCCTTGAGCCACCGGCACCTGGCTAGAGCACCATTCTTGAGCAAAAAAGCTTGGGGACAGCGCCCAGGCTCTGAATTCAAGCCCTAGAATGGGCACATAAGGGGGGGAGGGAAGAAAAAGAAGAAATAGAATTTTCCCTTGGTCCCTCAGCTCTTCAGCTCAAGGCTAGCATTCTACCACTTGAGCCACAGCACCACTTCCGGCTTTTTTCTTTTTGCTTATGTGGTGCTGAGGAATCGAACCCAGGGCCTCATGCATGCAAGGCAAGCGCTCTACCACTGAGCCACCTTCCCAGCCCACTTTGGAGGTACTTTCAACTCATGACTTCCTGTTAAATCCTCCCTCGTGGGGTGCTGCTTGAAAAGGCGTGGGAGAAAAGGGGTTCGAGGTGGACACCTACGTGTTCAGAACTTCCTGAGCCATACCACTGAGGAACTGAGTCTCCAGAAGGCATGGGCCAAGGTTGTTCAA